CAAGGATTCCCCAAGGCCCGTGAGCGTCTTGAAGACCTCAAGAAGGGCGGAAGCCGAATGCAGAAGACTCGCCTCTCACGCTCGGCGGTTAACAAGCAGAGTGATGGGGATTGCGTTCTCATGTAATTGGATATTTTTGTCCTTTCATGATTTGCTACCCTTTAGATATGGCTTTCTTGTATGTCTTTCCCTTTGTGATCACCGGCGCTTGATGTATACCAACCACCCTGGTCAAGAACGCTTTTCTTCTTGCGCCTGGACTGCAGGTTATTTTTATTTCCTTCTTTTCCTATCCCTTTCCTATCCTTTTTCTCAACCCCCTTCCATCTTTCGAACGTCTTCTTTTTCTTTCTCTTCTCTTCTATTCCCCTTTTATTATTCTTTTTTTATTTTACGAATGGGATGTGCATGATTGGAACGGACAGGATGCAGCCAACATCCCCGAATGGTTGTAGCATTTGTATACATTAATAGATTGTTGAACAACTTCAATACTTGCACAATGTGTAAACATCCTAGATACATACCCGTAACTCCGAGCCAATGCCGGAGGGCGGATATATAGATTGTCAGCGGGCGCATTCCGCGCTGACACAAATTTAATTCCAAGACTAGCCCTTATGATCGGCTCTATGGGCTTCCGAAATCATCGAATTAATAAGCTCTAGTTCGACGGTAATAAGATCTTTTTTCGGGACATTTAAATATAAGATACGACTGCCATTCATTGAGTTCTAATAGGTACATTGCCGGCCCTATCCGAAACAACAAGCCATATATGTCTTCCGAATCAAACCAACATAACAACTCGGAAACACGAACACCAAATTCATTCAGTGGACGCAAACTCGCTCTTGTCTCTCTCTTGACTGTCCTCGCAGCTGTACTTATTACGCTACTCTGGGGAGACACCGCCAATCTGTTCGGCATTCGACGCTTCTTTGGATCTTCCGCGCGCTCAGCGGCAGTACCTCTAGCAGCTTCGGCATCTGTTGCAGCAGCTGCGACTGTGAAGGGAGAACCAGACGCATTCACTAGGGGTCACGTAAAATCCAACATGAAGACACCCGTTTACTTCTTTGGTCATGGCGGGGTGAGTTATCTATATCCCGGTTCTGCCTATGGACTAAATACTGATTCGATGCCCGTCAGCCAAACATCATGTACGAGGTCGACCACCCGGCATACGTCAAGCTTGCCCAGGCCGGGCGTGAGATAACGTCTAAGGTCAAGCCGAAGGCTGTCGTGGTATTCTCGGCGCATTGGCAGGCTGGTCGAAATACGATCCAGGTGAATACCGCCGAGAAGACGGATCTGATCTATGAGTATGTGTGATATCGAAATCGCAGCCTTTGTTCTGCGAATTTTGAACTAACTGGATCTAGCTTCGGTGGCTTCCCGAGCCATTACTATAAGGAGAAGTACCCGAATGTGGGTAGCAAGGAGGTAGCGAATGAAGTTCTGAGGTTGTTGGAGGAAGCCAAGATCCCGGCCGAGGGCGTCAAGCGCGGACTTGACCACGGCGTCTGGGTTAGCTTCAAGTGCGGTATGTGACAGTTTGCATTAAAGCGACATTCAAATTGCTGACGAGGAAAATACAGCCTTCGAGCCAGAATCAAACCCACTGAACGTTCCTATCGTGCAAGTCTCGCTTTTCGGCAGCGAAGACCCAGACCAGCACTACCGGCTCGGACAGGCAGTCGCGAGTCTTCGCGAGCAGAATATTCTGATTGTTGTGTCCGGAATGGCTGTGCATAATCTACGCGATCTGCGGTTTGCGTTTGGCAGTCCGACCCCGATGCCGTATGCAGTTAGCTTCGATAAGGCGCTCAAGGATGCCGTGACGACTGCGCCGGCTGAACGGCAGAAGGCTATGGCTGAGCTGCTGAAGAGACCGGATGCACGCCAGGCCCACCCTTCCTTTGAGCACTTGCTGCCTATTCATATTGGGGCTGGTGCTGCGGGTGAAGACTTGGGGAAGAGGACTTGGACACTCCCCGAGGGGAGTATGAGCTGGGCGCAGTATCGGTTTGGCGAGGTTGGTAATGCTAGTAGCGAGCTATGAGAGATAGCATCAATTCATCATTGTAAGTAAGGAATTGGAATTGTTTTGGATATGAGCTTCGATTTCATCTATAGGTACAGAAGATGGGTGTAAAACGGTGGGAACGCGGGGGCATAAAATGGATCTGCAGAAACAAAAAGAAGTTATAGCTGCTGCTTCACCAACTGTGTAATGCGCTCTTCGATCTGGGAGTCCGACAGGCCTAGAAAGATGAATTAGTATTGCGCCTTAATGCAAAATTATGTTTGGCGGGGGATAATCACCGGACAACGCTTCTTGCTTCTCCTTGCCGAAAGCTATTGAGAGGAAACCATCACGTCAGCTTGACTCGCTTATATACAGAGCCCACACAATGGGAATATAGGTGTTCTGTCATACCGTAACGGGCATAGACCCGGGGCTGGGTGCCCGCAGCCTCGCGCATCATGATGGGAGTCTCGGGGTTGTGCTTCTTCATAGTCGGGTAGGCGCGGTTCAGGAAAGATCTATAGGCATAGAAGATGGTCAATCACTGGGCTGACATCCAATTCGCCTCGGGTCGGGGTGTACGCACCTTGTGGCCGCGCTCGCTTCGGAGGTCTGGCAGAAGAGGAAGCGGAGCTCCTTCAGGCCTTGAGTGAAAACGTACTTGCCAGACATGGTGGCAGGATGGTTAAGCAGAAGTGAGGATTAGGAAAATAGAGGTCTCAGAGGAGCCACGGGAGGATGATCGTGAAAGCAGTGGGATTGACTTGCTGGACAGTCTGCGATGCAGTGCATTATTCACGATGGCGTTGATTCGCTGCGCAGAGCCATAATTCCGCTAGTCCCAATACCAACTAGCGCAGTATGCTTACATCAGCTTCGACCTCTGGGAAGCGTCATAGGTAGGTAGCGACAGCGCAAGAGAGAGAGAGTAAACGAGAGATAATCAATTCGAGTAGATTATACCGATCAATTGAGATTAGCCCCTTTATCTTCTATAAATTATATTTTCATCTACCTGCGGTTGTGGTGGTAAATTGCCCTATCTACCCTGCCCAACGGAAAACTCCCCCTTCACCGATCACCGGCGTCCATCCATCCTCCCTCTCACCAGAACAACCATCCCACCTATCATCATGTCGTCTCGCGTGGGCTTCCGCTTTGTGAACAACACTCGCTTTGCATTCCGCAATGCTTCTGCGCCATTCCGCCGGCCGGGTGCCCAGGGCTTCCGCTGGCAGAGCTCCGAAGCCGGTGCTGCGGAGAAGCAGAGCATCTTCCAGCGCCTATGGACCAGCCCTGTTGGTGTGAAGACCGTCCACTTCTGGTAAGAATTCCGATCATGCTGCATCGTGTGTCGCTTTTGCTACTATGGATTGACGCTAACTTTTGTTTTGCAGGGCCCCCGTTATGAAGGTACGATGACTTAATTTCCTCATCTGATATCCCATCTACACGTACACCCTATGTCACCCTTCCGGATACAATATCCCTACCAAACGCCGCCGTATCGTGGGAGGCTCCTCCACGAACCTACTGAACGCTATGGCTAACATATTCACCTACAACAGTGGTGCCTGGTCATCGCCGGTATCTCCGACTTTGCGCGTCCCGCCGAGAAGCTCTCCCTCACTCAGAACGCTGCTCTCATGGGTACTGGTGCCATCTGGACTCGCTGGTGCCTGATCATCAAGCCCCGTAACATCCTGTATGTGGAACCCGATAACGGACCCGGGAACCAATGCTAACACGAGATAACTATAGGCTCGCCACTGTGAATTTCTTCCTCGGATGCGTGGGTGCCGTCCAGGTGACTCGTATCTTCATGTGGCAGCGCAGCCAGTCCGACTCAACCGTCGAAGCCGCCAAGGAGATTGAGCACGAAGCTGTTGACTCCATCAAGGCCACCGCCCATGCGGCTGAGGGTACCGTGAAGAAGGCTATCGAGAAGTCAACTTAGATATAAAATGGATTCGGTGTTGACGGCAGGGGAACTTGGAAAAGTGCGCCCTAATACATCTAGAGTCGGTATCTATAGGGACCTCTTACCTGCGCTAGAAGAATCTCGGGTTGAATGAGCTAGCTCGGTTGTGATCATCGTTTCATCTCTGGGCTGGCAATCTGGTCCTTTTATTAGACAGCCGTTGTACATATAAAGCATATTTCAAAGTGAGTGCTTACCGTTTCTTCTGCGAGACGTCCAGAATTCCGAAGAATTCCAGTATTTGTAAACCTGTAAATTACATGTACTTTATGTTACCAGTAATTTTTCAGTTTAGCTCCCAATACACCTGTAACCTCTCCTTCCACTTCGACATAAAAGGCCATTTGAGACCAGATTGTATCATAGTCTAGTACATTGCTGATCTTGCAAGGTATACAGTACTCCACTCTTTCAAATACATAACGTACAGCAGAAAATTGGTTTTTTTTGTATTCGTTCAACTAAAGGGTATGTCGCCAGATGGCAGGGAGTTGAACCCATGCTAGCCACCACCATTTTTATAATACCGGTTAGGGCTCCCTGCCACCCAGGTGGCCTGTTGGGATTCTCACCATTTTCCCAACGACATGCTTAGGTCAATATGCACCGGTGTAGCATGTCTAGGAAGTATACATACCATGTACACATGAAGGCAAAGGTCACTTCCTACATGGTTTTACTGCCGCAATTTACAAACAACCTTAGTGTCTGGTCCCGAATATGTAGCTCATAGTGGTATCAATTCTTGTAAATCTTCACAGTTAAGATATTCAAACAAAGTACTATGGAAATCAAGTCCTTAATCTCCTGTCAAGCTAGACGGAGAGGACATGTAGAAATACCACACATCATATGGCAAGACATGAAGACCCAACATACTGGAAGAGGTTTCCTGGAGATTGAGGCAGTGCAAATGTGCCTAACTAGCCACTTGATGAGATCTTGACTGTAGGGATGGACCGCCTGCGCTTTAGGACTTTATGGGACCTATTGTATCTCCCTCCATGAAATGGTTGAGACTGTGTCTGGTAGGCTGCTATCCCACTCAGAATCCGTGTTCTCCGAAAAAATTGGAAAATCTGGAGACTCTTCATCATTATCAAAAGGACATACTGCGCCAAGCCTTCGGCAGTCATCGCACAGGACAAATTGGTGAACATCACACTCCCAGGAATCATCCAAGGGCTGATGAAATAGTAACCAACAAACGTCACAAGTCGCAACATGTGTCATATCAGGATATTCCAACGGGTCATCGATCCACTGTACGTTGTCAGAGTAGTGCATGGGGCCAAGGTCCTGATCGCCTGAATGTTCTGCTTGAAGATTCACGGTGTGGGAAATCTTCATCCTAGCAACTTCCATGGATATGGTTCGGCCAAAATCATCAGTGGCGTCTAGATCAATTTTCGGGCTTTCCCTTAGCAGGGTTATTATTGGATCCATCCCTCCCATAGTGGCATTCATCAAAGGCGTACGCCCAAATGTGTTCCGCGGGTTAGGATCTCTGTCGGACTTCAACAAGACTTTAACCAGATCTGTGAACCGCAGCTTTATTGCGATAAACAATACGTCTTGCCCCTTCCAATCCACGACATTGGGATCTGCCCCGTATTGCAACAATAGCAGTGCGACGGGTTGTCCGCTAGGTTCAAAAGGGTTGAAGGGAGACATGATGCCTCTATTGCATTTCACCTTGAGATCATGGTTGTAGCTCCCAACAGCCCAAAGCAAAGGTGATTGAAGAGGGTCTGCATCGTAGTTTGCATTGCATCTTTTGCGAAGAAGTGTACTGACCACGATTTGATGCCCTCTGCCAGCTGCCCAGGAGATTGGCCGGTCTCCTGAGGCAGATTGATGATCTGGGTCTGCACCGTAGCGCAACAGAAGCTTTACCATTTGGATACTGCCACGTCCCGCAGCGAAAAACAGCGGAGTCTGTCCATTAAATGCATCCAAACGCCGCATCAATGGTGATACGCTGGGCCAGTGATCGGCATAGTGCTTGATATTAGCTAGAAGGGGTGTTCCAGCACCAGCCTCGGTGGTGTTTGGATTAGCCCCAAGCCGGAGCAGCAGGTACACAATGTACCGCCAATCCTGTTGGACTGCCCAGAATAACAGGGTGCGGCCATGCCGATCCTTCTTGTCGATTGCCTTGCTGTAAATTCCCTTCCGCCGCCTTGGAAGATAGCCTTCAAGATCTTCTAGTCGACCTTGGCAGAGAGCCGCATGACATGAGTCTTCACTCATCTTTGTCCGGTGGCCGTTGAGAAGCCTTTTCCGACGAAGGAAGTTCTTCTGACGGCTCCTCTGGCGCTTGATTTGATCCGCATTTTGGCTCTTGAGTATGTTCCGCCAATTGGCTCCCCAGAGACAACCCAGCCACTTCCTGCGGCCTTTCTGGCGTCTCATCCGGAAATCCGAGAAAAGTAGCTTGCTCAAAAGGAACCCAACAGCATCAAGGTGCCCCTTCCTAGCAGCAAGAAGCAATGGCTCGTATTCATCGGTAGCATTGAATTCAAAGTGGGAAAATAGAAGAATCATCAATTCGACATTGTTGTTGCCAGCCGCCCGCATCAGAAAATTGTGGGATGCTGTCTGCGTTGATTCATCAAGGCCCGCCTCCAGTAACATTTTTGATATTCCCACATGCTCAAGTTCCGTTGCGACCTCAAACAATGATGTGTTACGTTCAGCGTCCCCTTGTCCTGAGGGTGCTGACTTCAAAAGCGTGCGGACCAGGTCAACATGGCCACCCTCCACTGCGTCCAGCCACACCGAGCTTTTTCCCTTGATCCATATTTGTCTCCAGAAATTGATAATATTGTAAGAGACTTGGCACTCTCTCAGTCTCCAACAGGTCCTTAAATACCACAAGAGTTCATTCACTTGTATCCCATTGTGCTTCTGAAGCCAAACTCTCCAGGCTCGCTTGATAGAAGGGGGCGCTTTGCGTGTCAAAACTGCAAGTGATTCCGAAGAAGTTAATTTGTGTAGAAAGTACGTCAAAAACTCCTTTTGGTCTCGGTTTTTTGTCGGGTCGTAGAGTGGCTCGGGGTCAGCTCCTCTTTCAAGAAAGGCCACCATCACAGCGTGGCAGCGTTCATCGATCTTTAAGCACCTGCTCGCATAAACGAAAGGCGTCTCCCCCATCACATTCTTAGACTCAACCATCGCATGATTTTCAAATAGAATCTTAATAAGAGAAGGGCTTCCGCACATTGTTGCGAAGAACAACGGTGTCTCTCCAAGTATATTTCTGTGGTTGATATCAGCGCCATTGCCAAGCAAAATGTCAACCACTTTCCAGTCCCCCCTTAAACAAGCCCCGAAGAGAGGAGTATTGCCAGTGATATCCTGGCAGTTGACATGGACTCCTTTTCTGAGTAACAATTTCACAACCGAGAGATAGTCTTCTGAATTGAAACCAGATGGACGTTCTAATACTATATGGGGTTTTACATCGAAATCACTCAATCCGAGTGATTGAATACCAGGAAAAACCCCGGTCATGTGTTCATCGCCCTGTCCAGCTGTGGAGGAAAGTGGTGTCCTTCCATACCTGTTGAACATCTCCGGTTCATAAAAAGCCCCGGTCATGTGTTCATCACCCTGTGCAGCTGCGGAGGAAAGTGGTGTCCGTCCATACTTGTTGGACATATTCGGGTCAGCTCCATTGTTCAAGAGAAATTCGGTTGCCTTGACGCTTCCAATGGAGCAAGAAATCATAAGTGGCGTTTCACCGAGGGATATCAGGTTAACATCAGCGCCATGGTCGACCAGGACTTTCATGATTTCGAGGTTTTCCTGAAGTGTGGCTCGGTGCAGTGCCATACAGTCATATCGCTGAGGGCCATTTGGGGATACACCATACAACAAAACTTCCTTGACAATATCGACTTCATCGCGAACCACTGCCTTCCACAGAGCCGTATCTCCATATCTCCCTCTTGCATGTGGGTTGATGTCCGGATTCTCGAGCAGAATTCTTGTTGTTTCAAGATTCCCATTCGCCACTGCATACATTAAAGGTGTTTCTGCACGCCAGTCGCCGATGTCCAGGTCTTGGCCAGTGTTCCGGTAGCTGATAACCGCATCATTTAGCCCAAAGAAAGCGGCTATGTGGGCTTTTGAAGAGCGGCGTTCCAAGAAGAGAGTATATGTTTCTTCCTGCGCCAAGCAAGTCACAACGACAGTTCTCTCTTCTTCCAGGAACTCCAAAACAAGGTTCAGGATCTCCTTCGACACTCTCAGTGCTGCTGATGCGTGCCAAGCCCACCATGTTGCACAATATGCGTAAAGTGGGTATTTGATCGTTAATGATCGATATCCAGACAAGTCCATTGGTATGTCAGCAACACATGAAAGATAGGTAATAGATGCAGTGGTGATATCAACCTCGGCATTTCTCAGAGCTAGGTGGCCAATCAGATACTCGTGTGTTGTTTGATGGACCAAACGGATGAGACGGCTATGTCTATCAAACATAACAAGTCCAGCACAGAGGGAATCGATGATCTCAATGTCGGGCAGGAACCTTTCATCAATGGAGTTCATGCCGGGTCGAACACAAAGGGCGTGCTGCAGCTCCCGCGGGGTAAGAGTTCTCCTGCTGAATGTCAACCAGCACAAAGTCTTCATTGCCATATCAGATAGAGCGTCTTGCTGGGATGTTATTCGTGATATTGCATTATCGTATGCTGTTCCCAGGCTAGCCCTTCCATGACGTAGGCTTGCGAGTGACTCTTCAAGTTGACCAATGGTAGGAAAGCTCATCAAGTGATCCATGTGAAGCTTTGCAAGCAGAAACCTAAGAAGTTCAGTAGTTGTCTGTTCGTTCAGTATAATTTCTACTTACATTCCATTCGAACTTTCCAAGAGACAGCGACGAACCTCTTGCTGAGTCTCAGGATACCTCGATATTTTGGAGCGAACGAGTTGAGGAATTCGTCTGTTCACATACATCAAGAGATCTCCATCTTGCGTCCGAATCTCTTTGAAAAGACATGATTTGAAATGGATTTGAATCTCCGAATTGAAACGAGAAGTCGCGAAGATACTGAGTTGCATTTTCTGTTCCAGTCGAAATAATGTGGACAGCAAATCATCGATCTGATCAGGCTTTGAGGAGCAGTACTCGTCAAGTGCATCGATAATCACGAACACCTTGGTATACACAAGTGCGGATTTGAGTAGCAATTCTTCAACCTCCATGGCCTTTGGGCGAGTCCTCTTTTTAGCATGCTTCTCGTGCATTTCTTCGATGCTCGCAAAGAGATTCGAGTCATTGATAGCGAGCTGTCGGAGAAGACTTAGAAGGATATCGAGCGTGGACTGTTGGCTATGCGATTGATAGCTGCAAAATACTTGTGCAATCTGTACCTTCGGGTCGGCTTCGAATTTGGTGCTAAGAAAATCCGCCACAATTGAGCTGATGACAGTCTTTCCTGACCCCGGAATTCCAGCACAGAGAATGGTTGCTTTGGGCCGAGATAACCACTGAAGAAACTCCGAAGACTCCAAAAACCAAAGCCCCGTCCCTTCTTGTCTTTGGTTAATGACATCGCTTTGTTGTCGCTCAATCTCTATTGGAGAGAGCCAATCGAGAATCTTTTGCGTCTGGTCATCAATTACAAGTCTACTAATCATCTCCATGTCGTGGCCGATTATTTTCACATTGTTGCTGATCGCTTTCACTTCTTCATGGACTGTTATGATGTTATTGACATATTCAATCTACCATGGGCTTCATCACAACGTATATTAACTAACCTCGACAAATTATATCCTTTGCAGGAGGCTCCGAATCTACGACATTAGGCTGCACCTTTTCAAGAAACTCCTTGGCACATGCAGCCGCCGCCGCCGCCGCAAAGGGTTGCCAGCGATCATTCTTGTGGGAGTCGGCGTAATCACATATGCCGCGGATAACAACACAAGGGAAGTTGTTCATCAGGCCAGCAGCCTCCATTTCCAAACATATTGCTCCGTGTTGGTCCCTGATCGCATCGCGCTTTGAAGAATTTTTGACAACCGAGTTCCCAGATGCTATCGTTCCATAGTGGATCACAGGATATTCGTCGAAACGTTCAAACTCATCTCGATCAATCTGCTTCGTCAGATCGCATTTGGCACACGATTTTGCATTGTTTGGGTGAAGATAATCCGACTGAAAAATCCGATCAGAGGCTGGATCAGGATGAGAATATCCCTTCTTTCGCATCATCGGATATTTGTCAAGCATTTCCGTGACATATTGCGAAATCCTATTGCCCTCCATTTCATGATCCGCCTTGAGCTTTGACAAGGCTGAGAGTAGAGATCGCGGTGGGCGGTTCAAGGCAGAGATGCTCTGGAAAGACCCATCGGCGAGTTGTTTCCCAAAGTCATAAACAACCACTCCACCATTTTCGGGATGACTGCCGATGACAACATCTCCTAGGCGGATGTCTTGATCGTTTTCATAGTCCGGAATGCCTGCCCCAATGCCGACTAGCAACCCGACTCGGATTTTGGGAAAGGTGAAGAGCATTTCCCTTGCGGCAGCGGCGGCTGAAAAGGAGCCAAGTTGATGCAGAGGTAAGGCGGCTATGACAACCTTGAACTTCCCCATAGACCCCAAGATGTAGGTATTGTTGTCTGCTGGAGCGGGTGGGATCTGCGGGTCTCCGTGCACTTCATCTAACATACCTTTGGCTGCAGCCAACTCGGTCGGTAGTGCGCAGATCCATCCCACCGTGTAGTCATCGTTTGAGCAGAATGGCTGTGTAGAGTCTGTCATGTTTCATGCTCGTTCTGATGAAAGCTATGATTCACAATGGGGATTCAAAACAGACATGAGAAGAAATAACTGCGCCGCTGGAGGGGAGAGGCTCTCACTCTCACGTGGTGGGGGCCATTTAGACGCAGGAGTAGCCGCTATGGGACATTCTACGAAGGCGTGTACAAATTCCAAAAGCCCGTGGGCCGAGAAGAGATTGGCGGTTGGTTAACTATCTCGTCAACTATATGGGATTTCCTTATGGGTCCACTCCGTCTACATTTAGTTGGGCCCGTGTGGGTATCGATTGCAAGCCATTTCCATTGAGATTAGCCACATCGATGCCAAGGTTCTGTATTTTTTTTTAACAAAAGGGTGCTCGGCCCAACGCACGGCCCAACTCCGATGCCCTTTCATGCGGCAGCGCGAGGGTTTTTGAATGATCATGTACGCCATGATGGAAAAGACAAGGAAGTGACAACTGTGAACAAGATCAGACTTCAGGATAAGATGATGCGTGTTTTGAAGGAGGCTGCCGGGTAGGATACTGCTATGTTGATGAGCCAACCGAATGCGGAGGGTAAAACTCCGCAGGATTTACTGGGGGAGACCAGAAACCGGTGGCAGAGAATGGAGCAGCGAATGCCAGAAGAGGCAGAGGTAGAGACAGAGGGCAGCCAATAGTAGCATAATTACGTTCAGGAAAAATATCTCACAAGCGTAGCCATCGTCCACGGGTAGCACTTCTGACACATTTTTGGAACTGTTGAAGTGTATGTTTGCTACACCAATAAGGGTATTTTCCATGCGTCAGGTCATTATAGTAAAAGACTATGGCAAGCTCAGGTAGTATCTTAACCACTGATGGAGTACCTATTCTCTGTTTGACTTTATATGGTATAGGGAATGCTCGCAATACCAGCGTCGTAACACGCATGAATGACTCCTGAGATCTGACAATACTTCAACAGCTAGATCCAAGGAGGAATCACATCGGTGCATTTCAATGCGACTTCGATACTAGCACATGCCAGCACCTGTCAATCCGACATATGATAATCCCGTGGCGCTAGCCATCCCCTTCTCGTCACCCATATAATCTTTTCCTTTAGCATAACTCCTCGGCAAGACAAGCTAGCGTTGCTATTTGTTGAGAGGCTACAAATCTTAGAGGCACTGGGGCAGAAAGTAGGAAAAGAGTTGATTCTTTAGGGACCAAGCTCCAAAACTATCTATCTACCTACCGAGGAGGTTGTCGGTGTAATCTTAACTGTACTTTGTCTGGCAGTTGCTCGGAAGACTACGGCTCTGAGGATATCTAACTTCAATTGTTTGAAACAAAGTGGATTTAGAACGTGCTAGGTGTACCCAATTTATCCGGGATTTTCCTCCCAATCGGAGGAATCACTTCAAATATTCCTCCTATCAAACCTACTTAGGGACCACGCTGACGTAACGCAGAGTCAATTCATCTCCGGTCCGCTAATTAACGAGACGGAAGCTCACCATACAAGCTATGACATGACCATGCCCCGGCTTCTCCCCACATCGCGGAGTCGCGAGCTTGTTTCCTCGGAGTAAATTGAAGGAGATGGGATCGCCCCACCGCTGACCATATACAGTTGATCCCGGAAAAGCTAGACCGGGGTAATAGAGAAAATATCTTGTCCATTCTAAGACTATATATAAACTGCTTTAGAAGTACCAGAAAAGTGTCCTCAGCCCGGGAAGCCGATTCAACTCAAGACAACCCCTAGATTCTCTTGACACCGACGATGAAGGTCTCAAATACTTTCATCCAAGCCTTGGGAGTTTGGCTGTCAATTAGCGGCGCAGTTCAGGCCAAGGAGCACTCTCGAAATGACGCGTGCCACCCACACCATCCATTCAAGCCCCTTCCGGCCACCCATGCCAGAACTCGCACGTGTCATGTAGCCAACAATGGCAATGGACGCGACGATTCAGCTAATGTTCTGAAGGCACTGAATAAATGTAACAATGGAGGAAAGGTCGTATTTGATGCTGGCAAAACATATACGATTGGAAAGGCACTTGACATGACTTTCTTGAAGCATGTGGATCTTGGTACGTGATGCATGCATTGGAGTGCGATATGAGACGAGTGAGTGCTCACAGGCTATAATAGAAATCCAAGGCCACGTCCAATTTAGCGATGACACGGATTATTGGCAAAAGAATGCATTCAGCCAGGTCTACCAAAATGCCACAACCTTCTTCCAGATCGGCGGTGAGGATGTCAATGTCTATGGTGAGGGCACCCTAGATGGTAATGGCCAGGTCTGGTATGACTTGTATGCAAAGGATCCCCTCATCCTCCGGCCAATTCTGGTGGGTATTATTGGGCTAAATGGAGGTACCATTGGACCTCTCAATCTTCGTTATTCGCCTCAGTGGTATCACTTCGTGGCAAACTCATCCAATATCCTCTTTGACGGAATTGATATCACTGGGTTCAGCAGCAGTAAGAATGTGGCTAAGAACACTGATGGATGGTAAGTTCATCTGCATTAAAAGAGGAGCTAGCTTTAACTGACAAATACTGCTAATAGGGACCTCTATCGTTCCACGAACGTTGTTATCCAGAACTCCGTAATCAATAATGGAGACGGTACAGTTGCCTTCTAAAAGTTGACCCGATCTGCTTTACTAACCATGTGAAAAGATTGCGTCTCGTTCAAGCCCAATGTTACCGACATTCTGGTCCAGAACCTTCACTGTAACGGCTCTCACGGTATCTCCGTTGGCTCTCTGGGTCAATACCCAGGCGAGGTTGATATTGTGCAGAATGTGCTTGTTTCCAATATCTCCATGTTTAACGCATCGGTAAGTTTAGTACTGCGGGTGTGATATTACGTTTCTAACAATCTTATGAAGGATGGTGCGCGTATCAAAGTGTGGCCTGGGGCTCTCGCTGAGATGTCTACCGATCTCCAGGGCGGTGGTGGATCTGGTCTGGTGAAGAACATTACCTACGACGGAATGCTCATTGACAATGTCGACTACGCCATCGAAGTGACCCAGTGCTATGGTCAGAAGAATTTGACTCTCTGCAACGAGTACCCGGTATGTGTCCACTGGTTTCCCTTGGTTCCTGTTTTGCTTTCATTCCACAAAAGAGTCGATACCACTTGTTTCTGGTTACCGAAGACTAACAAATACACCACACAGAGCAAACTTGTCATCGAAGATGTTGTCTTCAAGAATATCAAGGGTGTCACCTCTGGCAAACGTGACCCTCTTGTGGGAATGATTGTCTGCTCAAGTCCGGATGTAAGTGCTCAAACACGATAGGTCATAGCTCACCCTCTGACTTGTATAGGTTTGCTCGAATATCAACGCCAGTAACATTGATGTTATTAGCCCCGATGGGGATGATCAGTTCACTTGCACAAATGTGAGTTTATCTTGAAGATCGGTGTAACCTGCCAACAAATTTATTGACTTGTTTTCTGTACCTTTAGGTTGATGAAGATTTACTGGATGTGAAGTGTGTTTCTAGCTAGAGCAAACCAAGACCAAGGATATATAGAGTGCAAATAGAATCATTAACTTTGACATTATATATATATGGTCCGATATATGGTCATTGCCACACGGGTACCAGCATCACCACAATGCGATCTGCAAGGATCAGCTACAATAGGCCATTCTCAACCGCGCTCGTACTTTTGATATAGATTGTTGGCCCTAACTTACCCCGCAATTTGCTTTTCAACTGCGAGTTGCCCCGCGGTCACATCAATGCCTGGTGCACATCAACTTACCTCTAAATCTTGACTTGCATTACAAACAAATCAAATATGACGCCCGAAGAGTTAGATAGGATCGGTCCAACCAATGCGTTTGAATGGGCCTTGTTCGTTTCGAATCACCATGACACCTACCCATGCATCACACCAACAGGAACCGAGCTTGCAGGCAAATCCATCTTTATCACGGGCGCTTCAAAAGGAATTGGTCGGGCAATAGCCATGCGCTGTGTAAAAGCCGGCATCTCGAAGATTGCAATCGGAGCACGCTCATCGCTTGATGAAGTCGTGAAAGAGTTGAAAGCAGAAGCCACAAAGTCGAACCTCCCAGAGCCACAGATTCTCACATTAGAAGTTGACGTCACCTCAAAGGAGTCAGTGGAAGCTGCCGCCGAAGCAGTAAATGCTTCCTTCGCAGGAAAACTGGATATTCTTGTGAATAATGCTGGATATTTACCAGACATGACGCGCATTGTGGAGTCCGACCCAGACGACTGGCTGAGAGGATGGGACGTCAACATCAAGGGCCCCTACCTATGTTGCCACTTTTTCCTCCCCATGATATTGAAATCAGAAACAAAAACAATCATCAACATGACATCGATAGGGGCTCACTTGCTCACGCATGGAGGATCTGCGTATCAGAACGCACGGTTTGCTATCTGCCGCATTACAGAAACCCTTGCCCGTGAGCACAAAAAAGAAGGCTTAATTGTGCTGGCTCTGCATCCCGGGGCTATCAGGACGGACATGGCAGAAAAACTACAAGATATCTTCCCGGATATCTTTGTTGATGTGCCAGAGCTTCCGGCGGATACTATTGTGTGGCTTGGAAAGGAACGACGTGAGTGGTTGAATGCTCGGATGATTAGTGCAAACTGGGACATGGAGGAGTTAGAGATGAAGAAGGATGAGATTATTGAAAGGGATTTGTTCAAGTTCCGGATTACTTTATAGAGTTTTTCAAGTGATCGTGGGGGATATTATGGCACTGGAAGGATACACGAACTTTGACAGTGACGGAAACTTGTCGGTACATACATGTACATGATTACGTACATATAGTATATTGGATCTTCGTGAGTCTTTTCGGGCTTTAAATTTACTCACATTATGTGCAATGTAACTACGAAAGCGCCATATCTGAGACGCGCTCAGATCAACAGTTGTCATGCATCCAGATTCACAGCTTCGGAATCTACGAAGAGCAACTACAAAATTGGGCCGGAACAAGGCCTTATTCCAAGTGTTATGATCACGAAATATCTACGCAAATTCTCGGAATCTCTACCATGGAATGTTATGGGTCTCGGGCCGCACGGGACGGATATGGACCCTTAATCAATTACGATATGTACGGTATGGTACGTATCCGAAATATACAAATGTAGCATGTCCAGCCTTGAACATTTCTATGCATATACTATTGAATTAAGAGTAACGAGCCTGAGTAGTACAGAAAGTATGCGGTAGGGGGATCATTAATTATCATCATCTGGAAGAACTCAACAGCTAACTATGTGAACGTTGGAGGCCCAGCCGAAGCCGGCCACTAAAACCTTAATCAAGGAAGTTCATTACTTCTGAGCCTGCTCCCATTGTTGATCCAGATTGGTGCCAATTGCACGAGTGGCTTCTTTCTCGAGCTCACGTTCAGAGAGACCGGTGCGCTTCGAAATCTTGGATGTCGACTCCTCACGAGACATTTCCACTATATGAAATATTGTCAGTCATCTATCTAGCATCAATACGTAGAATTAAACATACCGTGAACATAAACTGCAGCCTTCTTGCCACTAAACATCGCATGTGGCACATTGGTGCTACCATCGCTGTTTGCATCGCCAACGGCAAAGACACCAGACTCACTGGTACGCATCCCGCTGGTAACATTGATCTTGTCATCCACCATGTCCAAGTGCATCAGGGCTGGAAGTGTGGAGGTCTGGACAGTTGGGAAGTTGACAATCAAAGCATTTCGCTCAACAGGCTCGCCGGTAGTGAAGTGAAGGCGGAACTTGTCAAACTGCTTATGCTCCTCTTCGTCCCTATCCTTGCCGCCATCCTGGAGGCGCTCGATGGAAGTGATTGTGCGGTTGTCGATGGTAGTGTTCCAAGCGGCGAGTTGTTCCTTCCAGTCTGCGACCTTTGCCGTTGCCCGGGCCTCGCCATCTGCGGTCTGCGAGCCGTTCACAAATGCAATGATATCGTTGTACAGAGTGTGAGTTTCCAGCACGTTGCTCAGCATGTCGGTGATATCACCGATCATTCCGAATGGCTGGTCTCGGTGTTCATAGCCATCGCACCAAGGACACCAGAAGATGCCCTTGCCCCATCCCTCCTGAAGGCCAGGAGTCGCCGGTAGAACGTCACGGACACCGGTACCGAGCACAATCTTACGGGCAGTGTAGCTCTTGCCCTGGCTGTCGGTTACCGTGAAGGCGGAGAAGTCACCCTGTTGGAAAGGAACGATTGACTCGACAGTCTCGTTGGTAATGTGAGCAGTTGGATACTTCAGGATCTGCTCGCGAGCTAGGGTTCTGAAAGCAGCGGGTGGGGTACCTGATGAGGATAAAGTGCGTTAGGTAAGAGAGCTTGTGGTGGGATACAGTCGGGATCCAATCTCACCGTCATTGCCAATGACATCGTGCATTTCCCGGGTCGCAGCATTCCGGTATACCTGGCTATCAATCAAGAGAGCTGTGCGGCGGACACGAGAAACACCACTGATTGCACTGAGACCCGCGGGACCACCGCCGACCACAATGACATCGTAATCGGTCTTGGGTACTTCCACGGCGCTGGCACACGCCAGCAAGGAGACAAAAATGGACGCGAATGTTGCCCTGATGAAGACCATTGTGACAGGTATACGCAACTGCTCAGCTAACACAAGACGGCAGCATGCGCCATACGAGGACCTTTATAGGCATCTGCAATGGCACCCACTGCGGATATAGAGTGGGCGAACGCCATAACGATAGCGCAAACAGGAGAAGGTGCGTGGGGACGCTAGTAAAATCCGTGCATCTCGAGCTGAGAGATCGTCGGGATCGACATGATCGTCAGGGATTGGGGTTGTTTGCATAGCTGCCCATTTAAGGCCGGAACTCGACGGAGTACGACGGAAGCGGGGGTTCCTTGTGAAGATGTGGGCAATTTGTGGGGGGGGGGGGGGGGGGGGGGAGCTATATTGATGAATTTTGACCTAAGAAGTATCTCCAGGATAAGTTTGTCAACGAGCACTAGTCTCAATCGGAGTATCATTGGCGGGGACACTAATGTTTTTATACAGAATTGTGGCTTCCTTGACTGTGGACTCGGGCACTAAGGAATATTCATCCCCCTGGATTTTGCCTTTGGGCCCCCGTGTCAATTCTCTCATTGAATTATGGAGAGCTGGTGTTCATGGCACTTTGCAGGTCAGCCCAATATCACATGCAGATGCTGCATTGCAGATAGTTTTGATTGGGTGTCGGGTGGGAGAAATATGCATGTCCTACACCACGTTGACTGGAATGAACATCCCTGCTGTGAGAAATCAGTTCTTCTCATCAGGTATGTAGTGTTGTGATCTCCATATCGGATATGACCCTCACAACTACGTAGAGCATAGAGGAACGTAATAACAACACCCAATTGAACTTCACCAGGCCTCATGAGGCAGTAAACTATTAGTGTTTCCCCAAAATCATATAACCACCTGAATGTCTAAAAAACAGAAAATATATTTTCTCAAAAAGAAGGCATAACTATCGAGGATTGATTATTGATGTAATGCCCCGGACCCGTCTAATTTCAGCTCCACATCTTTGCGGGGACTTCAAGTACATCCCTGCAGAGTTGCTATAGCTGGCTGTTGATCGGCCTTTGCATTTTTTGAATACAGAAGCAGCAACAGAATATAAGGAAACAATGTATGCTAAAATATCCTGGGTGGGGCATTTCAGAAGCATGTACTCCGTACTCGAATCAAGGTGTCCAATTGTCGTCACTAATTTGTCGCAAACATCCCTAAAACCACAAGTTGGTGACAGAGCACCCGACTTTTGGCTTCAGCGTCGAATATAAACCATGAGGGAAACCAAGAAGGAGGTCATACGCCAAATAATTTAAAGTTTCGAGATAATTGGGCACCGGGAATCCCCCAGCTCCACATTTGGGATTCAGGGTAGATATAACATAAGTATGGGTATCATTAACAATAATCAAGCCCTGACGCCTCATCTAACATAGTCAAGTAGCCTTACAAACATTTCCAGTTCTATGGTCATTGTCCTTCTTCCTGGTCGTCGAGTAGCAACACCTTGAGCTTCTCCAACTTGTCCTCGCAGTGAACTTCCATCTGCATCACCACATCAACAGCATTCTTGTTGGTGATGAGTAGTCGTGATACAAGCCAAAAGTTATACCCATTCTTATAGAATCCCATTGATGCCCATTCGTCAGTTGTGACTCCGTTGCGCAGTGCGACCCAGTAATCCCGCCAGCGGGATAGAGCAGTCCAGATGGAAACGAGGATGGAATCTTCAGGAGTCTTGCTGGTTTCGTTTGTGCTAACCGAGCCGCTTCTCCTGGGATTCTTGAAATGGCCTGTACGTATGAGAGAACCGAGGAGCGTCATGTGGGTATTAATAAATGAGAACAGAACTAAACATGAGTAAGCCGCTGCAAAGCGCAAAAAGAAAAGGTGTGACACAAGGACATACTATGAATCAAGATAAACATGTCCAAAGCAGTGAGCTTCATCGGATGAGACTCGGGTGCTTCGTCAAACAAATTGTCAAAAGCCTCCGAAAGCATTAGGCCGCGCGAAAAGCAAAAGTTTGGCTCCGCGAACGGGTGCTCGGAGAAGAAAAGGTATTCATCGCAGGGCAGATCGCATTCCATTTCAGTGTGTGTCAGTCGACAGGGGTAGTTTTGAAAGAAGAAGAATGCGCAATCGAGCAGTGAAATTATAGAAATAGTCCTGGTAACATCAGTAAGGCAGACCTAAGACGGATTAAAATACGCACCTGATGCGACACTCCTTTTGGATCCATAAGTGCTCCAGGACCTGGTCATCAGGAAGGTGACGGGCTTTCACAAGTTCAATTCGTCGAGCAACCTTCACAACCTCACTGAATCGATTTTCCATCGCGCGATTTCGAGACAAACGGTTTCCCGCCCAGTATTGGACGATGGTGATGATAACCCCGGCCTGGAAGCTCTGGAACCAACTCCAATCACTGTTTTCGTCGTTGCACCGGCCACCCGAGAACATCGCGCTGATTTCGTTCTCTGTCGAGAACACGTCATTCGCAAAGACGAACAGCTCTGCAAAATCCAGTACTCTCTTAGCGGCGTACACTTCCCTCTGGTCGCTACTGTACATAGCGCCCATAAAGACCACCGCGGCTAACAGCGACAGAGGAACTATCTCCGGATCAAAGGAAATAGCGAGCATTGCACAGCTAGGTTGCCAGTATTTGAAATAGAGCGTAATGTATTTTCGTATGCGTGCGGTCGTTAACAGAAAGTTTAGATTCGCAGATACCTCGTCCTGTGCTTTAGAATCAAGCGGGACCTGCCACGCTTGTGCCAATATTGATTGAATTAATGCCATCGCGAACGGTCGCTCCGGATCAAAGATAGCTGCATCTCCAGGTGCAATAGGATGCTGCCCCGGAGGGGCGATGGACTGGTAGTCCGGTTCGCTCGTATGATATGGATTCTCCGTGTGCTTCTGTCCATCCCCAAAAGGGCCGTGGAAAAAGTCCAGGAATGTATCTTGGAAGAATTGCGGCGGGACGGAGCCAGAATCCATGAAGCCGCCATCGACGTTGTATGAAAACCCTGTACCCTGACGTACTTCGAGGCCATTTAGGCCATTTGTATTATGATATTTGAGACTGAGCCCTCGATCACTGCGTGGGGGAAGTCGAAAGTTTTCTGTAAAGCTATCGGTGCCACCATTAAGTAGGAACTTGATTGATCCTCGGTCGGATGATGGCTCCGAGATTTCGTGTTTTGTTGATATTTCTGCATGGTTTGTATGAGACTTCCATTGCGACTGAGTTGACTGAAGGCTTGAACCTTCTTCAATCACTATGTGGGTGGGGCCGGCCGGCCGCTCATTGTTGCAACTCAAGTTTCTCTTCTGACACGATCCGCATGGGCTTTGTCCATCGCATCGCAGTTTCATTGAGGTACACTATTCGACCAAGAAAGGTCAGTACCTATGGTAACATGTAATCTGGTCGCGGACTAACTGATTGACAGGCATGTCGCCGCCTACCCTTCTGACCTGTCTCAGGAATTTCGCGACCCCCGCGTTTAGCGCAATCGGCGTAATGGTCACGCAGATTGTCGCTAAAGTCTAATCAGATTCCGAACTTAGTATTATAGGTCCTTTACTAACCAGCGTGCGAACGAGTCATTGCAGAATATGCAGGAATAGGGTTTCTGGCCAGAATCTGTCCGGGTTTAGTATGTATGGGTAGCTGCAGGGGGCACACATACGGCGCAAATGGTGGCGCTTGAGGTGATCAGTACGTGTGAACCCACGCTGACAGATTTCACAGCGAAAGTGCTTGTCTGTCTTCATGGCCGGGGAGGAGGGGAATATCCGGGGTAAAAAAAGTGAGAGGAGCTCGTCGAAGGAAAGGGGTAAGGTATCGGTATTGCAGTGGGGTCCGTGGCGAAGAGGTACCTTTTGGCCTGGGGTAGCGTAGATAGATACTTGCCAATATTACTGGTTGAGTATGGTATGGTCATATCTATGCATCATGCCTGATGTACACTCTTCCTAAGTCTACTGATGTGTCTGCGTCTAGTCTACTAAACGTTTTGATTCCAACTCCCCCATAAGCTATCGGTATTTTCATTTGTAGACTAGATGGTTCAAGCTAAACAGCAGGTATCGCCACGATCCTATCCAGCGACATGGATTGGCCGAGGAAAATCGACCTCATTATCGTCCAAGTAACTCACAGTCCCGCTACATCTTGCTCACGCATTCTGTGACATAATCTAAGGCTCTTTCGATGAGCACGAGAAGATTCCCCTCGCCTAGTTTAGCATTAGGTCCGAGGGAAATGAAATAGTTCGGGAAACCATCGGTCGCGAGCGAGAGATACGTCTCTGGGGTTTCTTTCCACCGTTCCGAGAAGGTGACACCCCCCTTCCCTGAATCACAAACCGGGGAGTATGTGATGTGTCAAAGCCTGTGGCACATACAAGCATGTCGATAGGCCGGTGCTGACCGTCTGCGGTGATTATCCCGGTTTCGTCTACCTTGATGATATTTGAGGTGATAAGGTCTACCTTGTCATCTGTCAACGCTTCTAGATACCCGGGACCTGGAGTGAGTCGATGACACGCGGGCGGAAATGAAGGAAGCAATTCATCAATCAGTCCAGGCTTATTGGCCAAACGACGCTTCATGTTCTCCGCGAATATCTCCTGTCCTCCGAGCTGCATTGGGTGTCCAGTACGGGTGGCACCATGGATAGACTGAAGCTCCAGCTCGAACTCTATTTTTACAGTTGGCTGATATATCTGGGTGTGCACCTTCGGACATACCTTTGCGGAATTTCTGATATCTCTGGTGATCTTCCTTGAAGGTTTCGATGTCCTCAGGCGTAAAGGTAACTATTTACCTTCTTAACAAGAGAGAACAAACACATCCGAGTCTTTTTTACCTACAATTGTCCAGTCCCTTCCCACGCTTTTCAGTTTCCACTCGTTCAAACGACGGAGAAATCCACGTTCGACTGCGCATATAATGGTCGATGTGTGGTACGTCAAGTAGCAATGCGGGAACAATCTGGATCCCACTCGACCTATTTCCAACTACTGCAACACATTTGCCCTGCAATCAGGTAAGTCTATATGCGGCATAATATGGTGAACTTAACTCACTTTGTAATCATAACTCTCGTCCCACGAAGCACTGTGCATCAACATGCCCCTGAATTTCTGAAGACCCGGGATTTGGCCATTTCCAGTTGTTCAATGCCCCCGTCGCCGAAAAACGACATCACATCGATCCGTATAAGTGGACGAGGTTTCCAAATCTTGAATCTAAAGATTTAACGTCAATTGCTAAACTGACCCGGCGGAACGAGTGACATACCTGCAGATTCCACTTTGATTGGTCCTCATTCCAGACAGCTTCAGATACCTGCTGCCTCAATTTGATGTATTCCATGCATCCATACTTCTTGGCAACATGCTTCCAATACTGGTGAATCTCTGGAGCCTTGGCATAAAATGTCGACCACTCCTTGCTAGGCTCGAATGCGGCTTGGTATGTATGAGCTGGAATATCTGCCAGACACAAGGCTGATTAGACAGTGAATCATGGGGAAACAAGATCGGCATACCACAAGCGCATCCTGGATACCGATTTTCAAACCAGGTCCCTCCAATGTCTGCATTCTTTTCATATACGCATATATCAAGATTGGGAATTCGCTGCATGAATCGAATACATGCCAGAATGCCTGAAATACCGGCACCGATGATGACAACTCTCAACCGGCGGGTTTCATCAACAGACCGTTCCTCCACAGCACATTGGTTATTTGCAATAGGTGGTTGATGAGATTCCTTAGGCTTGGGGGCAGCCGGTTTGGAGCCGACACGGAAGACTCCAGAAAAGCGCCTCATTGCGATATGCCGAGAATTGGTGTATTGTCGGACAGGGGAAATCAATAAATACAAGACACTCGACTGAGAACTATACAACTCAAGCAAAATTATCTGTCGGTTTTCCGTATTCGAAGGATCCACGACGTGGAAATGAGGGGGATCTTAATACTTGCGACATCGTGCGAGGGGAAACGTACTCCATAATCTTCATATGCACTAATGGCACATAGCGGCAAATTCAATAAGTTCCCCGCAACTATCGGCTATAGTCTGTGAGAGAATGAGCCCAGCCAATAGGGCTCAAGTTCGTCATCTGATTCAACCCCGGATATCGTTCAGATGTGGGACCGGAAATCCTCCTACACCGGGGCCTCCCCGGTCCAGGTTCCACCTGGTCTGAGAATTGGACTACGTACAAGACTCCTGGATTGTTAATCAAATGGAAGGATCCAAGAGTTAATGCGGAGTCATGGCGCTAGACCAGTGGATTGTATTCTACTGAGACCAGTTTAATAGGCTACATCGAATTCAAGAAATGGTGCCTCTAGATCAATTGCCCAAACATTGAGTTTTACAGAAATACAAATTCACAAGCATTCAACTGAAGAAGGTCCGTATGAAAGGAAGTCAGTCCGATGGCTTCAACTTCCATTAACATTAATAATCATCGATGTTGAAATATACAATTCGGAGATTGTATGAAACATGTATAGGATAAATAACTTTTGCAAAATGATACTTGAAGTACACGACCCAAAGGACAAAGTATAAATTGTCTATCTAATCTATCAATAGCTGACGAGAAGCCCATATTTATGGGTTTCTCTTCCCCTCCAGATTCAGATAAGAATCTCTCAATTGGTAATAGAAACATAAATGGGATCATAGAGAAATGGAGAGGTCGAATTCCATTGAAGCTGCTAATCTCGATTCCGATCGCAAGTGCCTTGGCATAATGAATGAGGATTAGGGTTGAAATCATCCCGTGTTAGTTACTGCGAAGTAGCTGGGATTAAACTGGGATCTCAACAATAGAGACGTCAACAGGCATGCATACGTGATACAGATATCGTGAATGGCGTGTATGTTGAATTGCTTGATCTGGGGAAGCGGATGAGAATTAATAACAGGATATGATGAGAGTTTCTAGCTTTTGTGAATGATAACTGTTCCCACTCTAGTCACCAACAGCTACATCCCCAGACGTATGCTTATTTGCAGTGAAACAGCTCCACGGGCTTCAAACTCTGCAATCCCTTCCTCCCTTCCTTCTCGTATTGTCGCCAGAGATGGCGATTCTCATTTATGAGCTAACCGCGAGATATCTATTGCTTCAAGTCCGCCGGAGAAAACACGAAAACGTACAAAAAGGCTCCAATTAATAGAGCAAAGACCACTTACCGGAAATTTCCACCAACTGGTCAGTTCTACATCTGTCTCATTCGGAGAGCCAAAGCAGATAACCGATTGACAAGATTTACGGGATTCAGAGGACTTGAAGCTATTAAAGTTGCTTTCAATTGAGCGAACTATTGCTTAAATTGTAATTTGCTGTTTGAAGTGATCCAACCACCTAAAAGCGCTCATCGGAACCATTTTCAGCTCCGAAAAGAAAATCGTCTTTCGAGATATCTACCGCCAATGCAAGTCAAAATACCCGATGACCACCCGAGCATAGGATTGATATGACGGATCGCGTGGTTTATACGAGCAGGAGCGGTGAGGGCTTTTGAAAGAGCACGGTGGTTGCCATAAGACAGATAAGACAGGAGTTTCAGATGATTTCTACAACAGATACGAAAATTATCCATACTGCTATTTCAGCTAAGGACTCGCAATCTTTCAGTTTTTGGAATATGTAGCCATAGTTAGCTGGCGTTCGAGAGTTAACCTAAAACTTAAATTCACAACTGAACATTTAGGGCAGCTGAGCTGTACTTCGTATTCAGTGAAACATGCCCAAGATGTGCTGACGATCCCACGTCTGTGCATGTGAGCAACCGCGAAATATACGATCAGTCTTCCGTCTCTGCCGCGTCGAGCTCTATATACTCTTCTTCTCCCCAGGTGAGATTTTCCCCGACAAGATTGTGCTTGGTTCATGAACCAAACTCTTAGCCATGACAAAAAGCGATACCCAACCCTCTACTTGCTCCATCGAAGAGTTCTTGGAGACTTCCTTCGACTACATAATCTGCGGCGGTGGAACCGCGGGATGCGCTGTTGCTGCAAGATTGAGTGAAAATGCGCAGGTTACAGTCGGTTTGATTGAGGCGGGAAAATGTCGACTTGGAGATCCTGTCATTGATATGCCCGCAAATTTTGCTGCGATGTTGGACAACCCCGAGTATGATTGGTGCATTCACACCGCGCCACAGGTAAGCCTGTACAGCGCATTGACAGTCATGCCGGTGTGTTGACCAATTCGAAGAAAGGAAACCATGACAATGTTCACCACGTTCCACGCGGCAGGTTCTTGGGCGGCTCAAGTGGTATGAACGCCACTTGTTATGTCCGCGGGTCATTGAGGGACTACGACGATTGGGCTGCGCTTGTTGGCGATGAGGGATGGTCCGCTAAGGCTATGCAACAATACATGCGCAAGCATCAGGTCAGCAGTCTCCCGGGTTCTAAATTTGCTGCGAATATTGACTGGCGAATAGACATTCGAACCAGCCGAGACAGACCTAGACCGATCGATAAATTCCCTTGGTGAATTTCATGGCACCCAAGGTCCGATCCACACGAGTTTCAATGACGGGGTATTGCCCATTGAGCACACCTTTGCCAAGGCATGCGAAGACGTATTGGGTATTACTGAAAGACCGGTCGATCCGTGGTCTGGCGATCATATTGGATTTTATCACGGCTTGGCAACTGTGAATAGAACAGGACCTGACAAAGGGAAGCGAAGCTATGCTGCAGGGGCATACTATGCGCCTAATCACAATCGCTGTAATTTGAAAGTTCTATGCGAGACCCATGTCAACAAAGTGATACTAGACGAAAATAACCGGGCGACTGGTATTAGCATCACTCACTGCGACCACGACTATCAGATCAAGGTCGCCCGAGAGGTAATACTGTGCGCGGGTACTATATTCTCTCCCCATGTCCTAGAATTGTCTGGCATTGGTGATCCAGCCATCCTCAAAGCAGCCGGAATCCCTTGCAAGGTCGAAAATGCTGCTGTTGGGTCCAACCTTCAGGACCATACTATCTCATTTCTTACCTGGAACGTTCAGTCAGATGTCATTACAGGAGATATTCTTCGGGTAGTCCCTGAGGCCATGCACGCCGCCATCAAACAATATATGGAGACCAAAGACGGGCCTCTCACTAATGCTCCCGGTGTTATGGGGTTTCTTCCAGCGAAGAGTATCATGTCCGAAGCGGAACTGAAAGAGCTTATCAAACATGTCGCAGAGGTTAAACCAACAAGTGCGTTTCATTCCAAGCAGCTAGAGTGCATTATTGGGAATCTCCAGGACGAGAAATCTGGAAATCTGCAAATAGGTCTGTTGCCAGCCATGATGAACCCAAAAAGAGACTCGAGGCATCATGGGGAGCTATTATCTCCAAGTCCCGACTGTCAGGGGAGTGGAGTTTCATTCTTCGTTGGGATACAGTACCCGGTTGCGCGTGGATACGTTCATGCTGAATGTGATGGTAATTCCCGAGATATAAACCCGGCGAGAACGAGAATTAACCTTAAACCAGATCCTGCACGTCCGCCAATCATCCAGCCAAATTGGCTTGGTGATGAAGCAGATGCTACCCTTCTCGCTGCTGCTCTTCGCTGGGCGGACAAAGTCGGTCAATCAGAGCACCTCCGAGATTCAATCATCAGCAGGTCTTTCCCTCACCCAGAAGTCAACTTACAGAGCCTTGATCGAGCAAAGGAAGCGGCACATGATTTCGTCAATTCCAACTACCATGTGTGTGGTACAGTTGCATTGGGTCAAGCACTAGACACTCGTCTACGAGTGAAAGGAGTAAAGGGCCTTCGAGTGGTGGACGCGTCGATCTTCCCAAATAATGTTAGTGGTAACATTCAAGCGACTGTATATGCAGTGGCAGAGAAGGCAGCCGATTTGATCAAGGAAGACTGGGGATTTCCTGAAGTGAGTAGGACAAACCGCATTCCAGAGTTGAAACTATGAGTCGTCTTGGTGTGTTCCATCATCCCTTTCAAAATACACCTGGAGGGGTCAGATATATGAACAGGTCAATGCTAGATCGTGGGAAGATGGGGGCCTCAATCAAGCCAATATGACTTGGATATTGAGTAGATACAAATAACATGAGGTAGCCCTTCTTTGATCATGTCAGTAACAGCTCATATGGCACCTCCTTCATTAAACATAAACGTTCGTTCCTGACGTCAATTAAAACCATCATTGTCTTCAGCACTCTGTCTCCGGCGTCCAGGGATTGTCTGTCGATTCAGAATAACCTCGTCTAGCTGCCGATGGAGCTTTCAACATCCCCGAGCCGGATGTATCCGCACGACTCACTCTCCGAGTGGGTGAATAAAAAGTGTCGAGCGAGATGAGCTCCTCATCACAGCCATCCTTGTTAAGACAATGATATATTTTCCCCGTAGGGACTGAGGGGTTCATATACTCATTGAAAGCGGTTATTGAATCGAATTCCCTTTGGCACAGGTAACACGTCCCGATGATGCCCTCGAATGCAAACTCCGTCGCATAGTAGCCTAGGCCTCGTTCGTCGTGTGATTCAGTCTGTTTGTTTGTGACAGAGCCCGTGGGATCGAGGTGGTGAATCATGCGGTGGATAGTCTCCCGATTCCAGTTGTGTGTTCTCAGACAGACACCATTTTCAACGTGATTTATGGCGTCACTCGCAGTTACAAACCGAGCGTCGCAAAACGGGCATGTGATATCAGTGAGACCTGATAACCTAGTTATCAAGCATGTGTTCACTAACTACCACAACAAAACCTTCACAGCATACCGAGGGAGATGGCTGGTATCTTTCTGGGGTGAGGTTGGCTGTCATACCTGGCGAATACTGTCTTCATTTGCGAAGCGTTGCTGACATTGACTGCAGTAGGGTTTGAAGTGTCTTTTGTCTTCCATATGGTGGTTGGCGGAATCCTTCGGCCGAAACATTTCCGTATACGTTTCGCAAGGAACTGTGAGCTTCCAGTGTCTCTATTTATTCATGTGCTTCGTCTGCGGTGGCTTTTGTGTGGAAGGCCTATGGGCATATCTCCCACAGAACTGTGACCGCCCAATGGCTCTTGGCGTTCATATGCTGACTCGCAGCTCCTCTAAGGAGAATGTCCGAGTACACGTCTCACAATTAAAGTCCGGGGCCCGGTGGTCGAGGGCGTCCATGTGTTGCTCGCAGGCGTGCTCCCAGCGAAACAGCCGGTCGCAGGTCTCACATTCCATCCAAGGATTGTACTGGTCCATGTGAGCAACGCAGTCGGACCGGTAGTCAAACTGACGGTCACAGGTGCCACATTCGAACACCCTGACAAGAAAGAGTGACAAGAAACTGAGATTGATGTCAGTGTAAATCAAAAATTGAAAAGAATATGAATGAGGTGAAAAGAGTGAAAGATCTCTCAGAGAGGAGACAGCTGTGAGTTGAAAAGAGGGTGAGGGAGGGAAGTGGACAAACAGGTGTTGTGCGGCAAATCCCTTTCTATGTACGCATCCTCTTGGGTTGAGGGTAAGTTGCTTTCGCATAGAAATCTATATTTTATTATGCTTTTCTTGATGCTCTTCTTTTCGCTCCTTTTGATGTCCTTTTAGGGCCCTTCCTCAGATTCTAAGTAGGGAAAAAGACATAGCAACATTCCAAGTAAGCAAACTCTGATGAATTCGAGAGTGTGCATATGAACTATGAAGCTCCTGCAAATGCCTATGCTCTAACAAATATAAATCGTCCATCTTATAGCTTGGGTTGTATGGTGTAATATAATTGGCATCTAACTACCATACTTGATGGCAATTAATATATAATGGAAGGTTAGGGGAACAGCGCGGGAAACTGGCTCTTCATTGATGATGATATATCTACCTTCTGCCATGGAGCCTCGTTCATTAGGGTTCAAATCGCAAGTAAGCAGCAAGCAAGGCCTTGCTGCATTCGTGCTTGAGTGCATTAGTACATTACTGTCATTGGGGCCCTTGTCTTTGGACCAAAACTCCATGAAAAGTGTGCTGTAACAAAGATTTGCTCTATGATTTCAAACTTCTCATTAGGCCAATCGCTTTATTATTGCAGGTGAGCTATAAAATTGAACAATATGGATTTATTTGTCAGAGCTTGGCTGAATGACAGGGCCATTCCCGGACGATGGTCTATCCTCATATGGGGATATCTGAAGTTGCAAGCTACCTTCATATGAGATCATTTTATGTTTCAAAGAATTCAATATACATGTGTTAAATCCGATCTCACCTATGATGAGTATGTCAAATCAAAGGTTTACAATGAAAAGTCACTTGCACAAAGTACGCTTTTATTTCCGCCTTCCTCTACCGTCCGCCTATATATCTTAAAGAAAGCATAATTAATGACACCAAAAAAAAAACACTAAAGACATGATAATGCCGCATACGTGACCGTATACTCTTGCCAATTATCGAACGAGAAGTAGGATGCAAGTCCATCCATCATGGCTCATGTTTCGAATCAACATCCAGCAACTCCACGTCACTATGCGTTCCCGATGGAGACCCATAATTCACCGAGTAGGTAACAGACTTCTTGATCTTGCCGCTCGTATGTTTGCTGTTAGAATCATCAGCTGTGTGAGTTGGAGTCGTTCGGGACCTCGTTCCTCCCAAGAACTGAGGGAATAATTGAACGGCGACAGCTCTGGATGCAGGCAGACAAGCACACATGACAGCAATCTGAGATTCAATTACAGTCCAGTGAGTGACGGGATATAGACCGAAAGTTTGATTGGAGCCCCAGCGGTTGTTCCAGAAGACAACGACTCGGATGATCGCGATGATCATAAGACTGTGACATTGGTTAGCCTGAATGATGAAAGATCAGCCTGGAGAGTGCATACACAGAGCCCACAATAAACATCAACCCCACAGATACCTTTTTTTGTAAAGGTAACTGCAATTTAGTTACCTCATACACCGGCATTATGATCAATACAAAGTCAACAAAAATGTTTACCAAACAATTGACGAGAATCGAGCTGATAAAATCGATGCACTGCGCGGGTTCCTCGTTCATCCAGCCAGTCCACGTTAGATGTACCGGCAAGCAGCGGAAGGAATCCACGAAGGCCCAAGAGATACCGATGGCGGCGTTGATACCGATGAGTGTATATGCTAAACAGCGGAATGTCTGTGATCTAAAGATGCGTAATAGGAAGAGACACACGGAGATCTTTGCCAGAGAAATCTGGACCTTATACATAACAGCAAGTCCTTGAAAATACTGCTCTTATTAGACTAGAACCGAGGCTTAGAGAGAGAGAGGATACGAACCCGGTAAAACCTGGTGATTGTGGGAAAAGGGATGTCCCAGATATTTTGACCGAAGCCGTTGCGGATCGCTGATCTCGTTTAGTGCTTATTCCTTATGAAATTGAACAACCGGGACTCCTGGCTTACCGTAAATATAAAGAACGTATATAGCGGCTCCCAAGACCTACGACGCTGTTAATACAGGGCGAGGGAACATCAACCACCGACACTAACATATGAGATGATTATTGTATAATCGTCCAGTCCCCATCCGCCGGCGAGGCCGCTGCTCTTAGCGATTATTCTTACAACGAAGAAAAACGACGCAAGAATAAGAGGGATCAGAGTGGCGGCGTCGACCACGGAAGGGCCTTTATGCGGTGTTATACCACATTCCTTCTCATATACACGTTTCGTAGCTAGGAGGGTTAGAGTAGGCTTTGTACATTAATCACGATCGAGACGCACTGAAGAATTCTTTTGTCGTGCAGCTAGTTTCAACGAGATTTAACAGCGCCGTGGGACGAGAGCCACTAGCACAGAAGCATGACATATCGTTGTTTAATGAGCAATTGGAGAATAATTTACTGTCACACGTGATCTAACGCATGGCCGTTAGCAATAGACACAGTTCTATTAGGATATGTACATACCGCACAAGAAGGGAAAAGAACCCTATCTGACGCTGCCGCATGAATCCTCACTATAAGCAGAGCTAAAACGGCGAAAGAGAACAAATGAACCCTCATGATAACGAGATGTCAGCAAACGTGTTCAAAAACAATGTCGGAGGTAATTGAGAGGGGGAATTTTCTCCAGGGCAGCGGCGGGTTTTGTTGTTTTCTTCCTTTGTTCCAGATTGGACATGGATGGAGCCAAGTGAGCATGGACGCCCCCAAGGCCCTCGCACGTTGAGCTTATTTTCATCAAGCATATTTTCGTATGACGGCGTCTATAAATCTCGATACCAAATATAGGCAACCAAGTCATTGGACCAGAAACGAGGCAATGCTCCGCTGTCAACGTTCAAGTGAAACAAGCCCTGATATTGCTACTCTAAGGTGGACAGTATACGGCGATTTCACGTCTCAGAGGCTACTCTTGATTTGGGTCCAGTCCCTCTTGGCATCTGTGCGAAGGCGCGTAACTAGTTAGTGAGTTATGCACCTTCGCACACCCATTTTTTAGAACAAATGTCATTCATAATGGTATCACCATAGTAAAAGGCACAACCCCTGAACCACCTCTGCCACATGATACTTCGATGATCCCATATTAAGTGATGTGATCCATTCTATGCCTGAAATCACCTGACCTATCTTGATACCTAGAGCAAAGAGAAGCACGTTAGACCTTGGAAGGAAGCCAGCCTATGTCATTGGTGTTTTAGAGTAGGAGGATAGCCTTGATAACGGGCGCAGGGGCTCAGCCAGGTCTTTCTCATCAGAGATCGAGAAAATCGGATCTCCAGACAAAGTAGAAGGCCTTGGGCTCAGCCCTAGACAAGCCGCTTCAACGGCGTCGGCGGGGTATTTCGCAATCCGCCTCCAAACACCAATGCCGTATTATGCAACTTCCATTGGGCCGATATCATCTTTACGTGGCATTTTACCATTAAATCGTGGAATCAACGCTAACCTCAAATTGCCACGATATTTAGCTGATTGTGACGCGCGCTAATTGGTCATCTCGTTTAGAAATATTAAATGCGGAGATTATGACGCGGTCATTCACCCGGCACAGGTTCACAGAAATGAAAAGAGGATTTGGATTGCTCAACTTATTTACTTCCCGTCCCGAAACTGGAGAAAAGCGGCTCGGTAGTGTTGGTCGCTACTTTGTACAATTGACCTAACTCGGACGTAATGATAAATGAATCCGAACCTGGCATCTAAAGCCGAGACAAAGCACGGGGAAGAGAGACCTTGAAAAGAAATTCCTTTGAGCTGAAAACCCCTCGAATCATTTTCCAAAGATACCCCAGCCATGTAAGTCTTAGCATTCAGGTAATATCGTGGCTCTCTCAGCCTCACCATATAGCCTAGCCTTATATAGAATATGTGGCTTAGACTAGTTAGCTAAGATGGGGGCAAAAGTAGATTAAATTCGTATACACTCGGGGTCCGTACAGACTTTTCGATCTGAGATCCTCACTAGATCGTATTAAGCTCACTGCTAACACTTCACGTTTCAAAGTCTTTGAGAGATCGAAGTCAAATCTATAATAAATCCAGTGAGGCAACGTATTTTAATGGAACAAAGCCTGGGGGGCCTAAGGGGGGTAGGGGGGTGGGGGCATGAGGGTTCTAAGCCTTGGCTTTTCTGACACCCGTAAGCCCACTTATATGGCAAGTCCATGGTAAATCCATGCATGCTTCGTATCCGAGCTGAACAGAGTAATTGTTTCTAAGTTATACGTTTGCCGACACGGAAAGATTCGCTTCTGTCTGCAATATTACTAAAATTTCCATCCGCGCTAGACAAGTACATAATAAATTAGGAAGTTGATGTACCGAATGCCTCTAAGACCTTGCCTATCGCAAAAACGCATCCAAGCTCCATTGTGCCGTACAGCCCAAAAGCATTGCTCATACCCAGGTCCTAGACCTGGCTTTGAAATTTGAAATTCTTTGTTTTCTGACCTAGTCCTCTTTTCTCACTCTCGTCCCCATTTTCCTGTGTGCAAAATTCCAAATCACTAGATTGCGGTGTGCATATTGTGTTAGCAAATCGTCGACACTCCCCTGTACATGATGCTTGCGAGCCAACTAGGCCGGCCACTAGCATGGCTGGCTTTGGCAACCACGATAGTGGCAGCCAACACTTCCAAAATTGCAACTCCCACATCTGATGCAGGATCATCATCGACGGCAACTGCCACGACTTCCTCCTCGACCGGTATCACGACCCATACGATCCAGGTGGGACCGAAATCAAATCCACACCAATTTGATCCATCCGAAATAAAGGCCAATGTGGGCGATATTGTTGTCTTCGAATTCTATCCAACGAACCATTCCGTTGTACAAGCAGAGTATGACGCTCCTTGTATACCAGCAAGCGGGGACATCTTTTATTCGGGACCATTTGCGAATTTTAACCTGCAAGGTGGGCAAATCGTCGGACCAGTGAGTTGAAATCGCATAAATAGTGTGCATCAAAGAAAGGAGGCTAATGTATGCAATGCAGCCCCCGACCTGGTCTTTGCGAGTTAATAATACCGAGGTATGTATCTAGTCAAAAAAGCATACCCTCAATTTAGGATTAAAGCTAACGGATTGTTTGATGTAGCCCACATTCTTCTATTGCACTGCAATAGATTCATGCACGAAAAATGGAATGGTCGGAGTGATCAACCCGGTATGACTTTCGCTTTCTCTTATCATTCATTCGGGCTGACTTTTGAATCCGTAGAACACAACCCAGTCATGGGAAACGCAATACGCAAAAGCACTGAAATACCCTTACATGCTAGTTCCAGGCCAGCCCATACCCCCCGAAGGCGACGGCGGAGGCGACAGTTCCAGCGGTAACGACAGTTCCAGCGGTGACGACAAAAGCAACCATGATAAGCATGGGCTTAGCACGGGGGCCATCGCAGGTATCGCCGTTGCAGCCGTGGCCTTTGTCGCCATACTGGTGGCATTATTCTTCGTGCTTGGTCGCAACCGTGTTTACTCGCAGTGGATGTCCTCGGAAGATGGTCGCACCGAACGTACCGCACGGTGGGCACTGTTCAATCACGGCGACAACGGGAAAAGCGAAGTTGGAAGTGCTGTCCCTACCCACAAATCAGGCCCTGTCGACATGACCTCAGTCTCGAGTCCGGATCCAACTGTGCGCGCAATGTCACCTGAGGTGGGAGTCTACTCGGGTCCTGCGTCGCCGTTGGCGCAGCAAGGCCACTGGAGCTGGAATGAGCCTATTCCACGCACCCGTGAAAGTGCGATCGCTACAGAGCTGGAGGGTCATCCGATTATATGGGAGGCACCAGGCAGTACCCCGCACGATCGGGTCTGAATAGGTGTCAAAAATTTGGAGATTCAGATTGGGAGCGTCGAGTGGTGGCCTCGGTGGAGTCGTTTATACCTTGGGGGATTTGGTGTTGCCGTTTGATTATTTTTCCTTCCATGCGTGAATGGATCTGCTTTATATATATGTATATATATATACCGAGGAACTTCTCGCCTGTCGTTGTAATTTATTTTGATTTGTTAATATTGCAGTTTCTGACACCCCGATCAACTTGGGAATTTCCCACACTCAAACACCACTATCGCAATGGCTTGTGTGCATTGTGGCGGGTATGGAATCATCCCAAAACTCAGCCATGATGAGTCTTTATCACACCATATCTTCCGCTACCCGGAGTTGGCACAGATACGTTGGTGATGGGTGTGACGGTAGGCGTAGGTCCTAAACATAGATCATCATGGTGTGTGGGCTGCATTATATCAGGTGGAGACCGAGCACTAGTGCTGGGAGATTGCCATCTCCCTACGATAGGGCTTACCCGGAGTCTAGTGGATGCTTCTATCAATATCCTTCTCAGCCACCGAACTTGATGCCCGAGCCTTGGAGAATTAGAGGGTTATATTATCAGCTTACAGGATTTACTAGCTGGCAATTTTGTTTTTCTGGGATATAAAATGCTGTAATAAGATAAAATGGTTACCAGAGGGGCCCGTGATAAAAACTAGTGGATACAATGCTTCGTCTTCAGAACGGCGTACCAGTCACTTATCCCATGAATTTATGTTTCAGGTCACTCCGGTTATATACAACCCCAAATTGAAGGGTGTTGTGGGAACTTTTCCAAATAGAAGCATATCAATTCCAGAAGACTGTTGTGTCTATGTGACTATTTGTTATATTTCATTCGGTGTTGCATATGGACTAGATGGATACTTGTATAGCAAGAGGATATCAAACTTAAGTTAAAGCAAATGCAGCTGTTCCTGTTAGGTGGTTACGGCAAGGCAGACGACCCAACAAGCGAGCCTTGATCTTTCGAGGCCACGCTTGGTCTAGTTCAATCACAGATTAGCGCTCGGCTGCACACAACTAATACGTTGGGATCCTGTCATGGAGACACATAATGATGTGCAGTAATGCAACCAGAGAGAACAAGACTCGAAATGAAAGTCACCAAAGGGAAACGAATTGAACAAGCAACAAAATATTATTCAAAATGATATCATATATAAGACAGGCTCCAAAACGGGGAATCGCTTTTGTGTTCCATACAGGGCCCGAGATCAAAAAAAAAAGAAAACCAAGGAAAGATTTACTCCACAGCATCAGTGATACAGCCCAGACTGGCATCCTTAACGTTTCGGGCATATTTACCCAGAGTACCACGCATGGTAAGACCAGTCTCAGGGAGATCGCCAGCAGCCTTGCGGGCTTCCCACTTCTGCTTGCGGTCGGCAAACTCGGCATCGGTGAGTTCGACATCAAGAATGCGCTTCTCGGCATCGATGGTGATGATATCGCCGTCGTTAACAAGACCGATGGGACCACCGACGGCAGCCTCAGGGACAATGTGACCGATCAAGAAACCGTGGGAACCACCGGAGAAACGACCATCGGTGATGAGGGCACAGGAGTTACCGAGACCGTAACCCATGAGGGCACCAGAAGGCTTGAGCATTTCTATAACATGGTTAGCATTGTGGTCAGCAATTATGTAGGTTCATTGCACATACCAGGCATTCCAGGGCCACCCTTAGGACCGCAGTAGCGAATGACAACAACGGTCTTCTCCTCCTTCTTGATTTCACCACGCTCGAGGGCGGCGATGAAGTCGTCTTCACTGTCGAACACGCGGGCCTTTCCGGTGAAAGACATGCCCTCCTTACCGGTAATCTTACCGACACTGCCACCAGGGGCCAAGGAACCGCGGAGGATCTGAATGTGACCGGTCTTCTTGATAGGGTTGGAGAAGGGGCGGATGATCTTCTGGTCCTCGGGGAAGCCAGGGACCTTCTCCAAGTTCTGAGCCATGGTCTCACCAGTAACGGTGATACCAGAGCCATCAATAAGACCCTCCTTCAGGAGGAGCTTCAGCAGTGCCGGGGTACCACCAATAGCGTGGAGATCGGCCATGACGTACTTGCCAGAGGGCTTGAGATCAGCCAGGAAGGGAATCCGGTCGGACACGGCCTGGAAGTCATCAATGGTGAGCTTGATGCCGACTGAGTCAGCAATAGCAATCAAGTGCAGCACAGCGTTGGTCGAGCCACCGGTGATGTTGACAACAACCATGGCGTTCTCAAAGGCCTGACGGGTAAGAATGTCGCGAGGGCGAATGTCCTCGGCGAGCAGCCTCTTGATGGCACCACCAGCCGCAAGACACTCAACATACTTGGCCTGGGAGTTGGCCGGGTTGGAAGATGAACCAGGAAGGGTCATACCCATGGTCTCGATGGCGGAAGCCATGGTGTTGGCCGTGTACATACCACCACAAGCTCCCTCGCCGGGGCAGGCGTGGCGGATGACGTCAAAGCGCTGGGGCTCGGTGATCTCCTTGGTAAGGAATTGACCGTAGGCCTGGAAGGCAGACACAATATCGATATCGGCGTTGTTCTGGGTAGCAGCGCAGCCGGGCTTGATGCTTCCACCGTAGACCATCAGACTGGGGCGGTTGATACGGCCCATGGCCATCAGAACACCGGGCATGTTCTTGTCACAGCCGGGAATACTGATGTTGGCATCGTACCATTGTCCACCCATCACGGTCTCGACGGAATCGGCAATCAGGTCACGACTCTGCAGAGAGTAACGCATACCGGGGGTACCCATACTGATTGCATCACTGACACCGACGGTGTTGAACTGGAAGCCAATCAAATCCTGATCCTGAACACCCTGGCGGACCTTGTTGTTCAGGTCAAGCAAATGCATGTTGCAAGGGTTGCCGTTGAACCACACTGATGAAATTCCGACCTGGGCCTTGTTCATGTCCGCCTCCTTCAAACCGACTGCGTACAGCATTGCCTGGGAAGCACCCTGTGACTTGGGCTGAGTGATGGTGCGGGAGACCTTGTTGAGGACCTTGTCGTCATTCTGGAAGCGAGGCAGAGTGGTTGAGAGAGCCCGACTATAGAGAAGAAACAAGTTAGTAGCTGGAGACGCAATTAACGCAATTGACGCAATTGAATCAACTTACGCAGGGTTAGACTGGGACAAGCTCCGCAGAGCAGCGGGCACGCGTGCCCGAGTTTGGGGAAACATGGTGAGAGTATGATATTCTAAAAATCACACCCAGCAACAATTAAAGTGAAAGTCTGGAGAAGAGAGGGGGACAAGAAATAAAAGGAAGCTCAACAAAGTGGGTCTGCCGGTCCGAGAATGAAACCGGAGAAGGGTGAACCCTCCCCGCCAATTGAGTGCGGCTGGTTGTCAGCTTGTTACTGACGCACATTTATTTTTGTTCATTTTAGCCGCTCAGGATGCATCGATACATACCTTTATGTATGTTTCATATGCACTGGAGCATTGAGCAATTTGGAGATTATAGTTAACGAGGCGCCGATGTCGGCCCTGCCTCATCAGTAGATCCCTAATATACTAAGTCGACCCCATAAGAACGCCAATAAGAACCCTAATACCTTACATATATAGAGAACGGTGACGTATTCTGAGGTATCAGTATATCTATATCTAAATGATCAAAGATATTTCTCCGACATGGCACTTGAGCATCTCAGATAGGTCACTGCCGTTTCGGTGGTTTTCATCCATTAAGTGTGGCACATACCCGACTTTTAAGAATAAGATCAAAGTCTATATCGAACTTATAGATGGGGATTCTCATTTATTGTACAGAGAATACCTAGTAGCTTCTAGGTAAATCAAGCACCTTCTCGCTCACGTAATTCAGGATCATCTCCCGACTCACAGGTGCAATACGAGGTACGAAACATTCCCGCATATATCGTTCAACATCGTACTCAACCGCATATCCCATGCCACCGTGCGCCAGAACTGCCCGCTCACACGCCGTGAAAGCAGCTTCGGCAGCCAGATACTTGGCACTGTTGCACGCGACACCGATTTCATGGAAAGGCACTGATCCATCGTTGGTATCATAAAGACGTGCTGCGTGGTAGGTAGCCAGCTTCGCCGCCTCCAGCTTCATGAACGCATCAGCTAAGGGATGCGCCACACCCTGGTTCTGACCAATTGGCCGTCCAAAAACAATCCGGTCTTTGGCGTACTGCGAAGCCTTTTCCAGAGCGGCATAGCCAAGACCGAGTGCCTCACCGGCCAGAAGGCATCGCTCTGCGTTCATCCCGTGGAGAATAATCTTAAATCCTTCATTCTCCTTTCCAATCAACGTGTTTGCAGGAATCTTATAATTATCGAAGAAGACTTCGTTGGCATCAACAGCGCGTCCGCCCATCTTTTTGATCCTCCGCAGATCCAAACCAGGGTTTTCACGGTCGACATCGATACAAAACAAGGACAGACCCTCGCTGGTCTTCTTGACTTCTTCAAGGGGAGTGGTTCGGGCGAGGAGAATCATCTTTGATGCCACCTGCGCACAGGTAATCCAGATCTTCTGGCCATTGACCGAATACCCGTCAGCAGTTTTGCTAGCCAAGGTCGTGAGCTTAAGAGTCTCAAGGCCAGTGTTTGGCTCTGTGACACCAAAGCATGTGCGCCATGTGCCATTGATAATGTTTGGAATGGTATTCTCTAACTGTTCCTTGGTGCCAAACTTGGCCAATGGCTGTGTTGCATAGACATTGGCGTGGATAGCCTGAGCGCCGGCCATACCTGCGCCAGATTGTGTAATGGTCTGCATCATCATTGTGGCTTCAGATATACCTAGAAATGAAGTTAGCGATCAGAATAAATTATCTTTAGTCGATTTACTATACCTAAACCAGCACCTCCGAGCGATTCGGGCAAAGCAATGCCGAGCCATCCATCCTTAGCCAATGCAGCATGGAATTCCTTTGGATCTTTTTCTTGCTGATCATGCTCTTGCCAATATGTATTCGGGAATTTGGAACAGATATGCGAGATCGCTTCACGGACTGTAAGCTGCTCTTCTGTGAAGCCGGTCATCCCCATAATGTCGCGCTGCCCAGAGGTGGAGAAGGCCGCACGACTTTGAGGGGACATCCCTGTCCGACATGAACCACGCAAAAACGCAGCCGGTTGTGATCGCAGAGCGCGTTGGATTTGTGACCGATACATGGTTGAAAGTATTTTTGTTCAATGTTTTGGACAAGCTTCTCAGTCAAGTCCAATATATACCATCTAAGCGCTTCACATATAGCCGACTCGGGGTCTTGGCATTCTCGATCTACGTCGTCTTGCGCCTCGGTTAAATGACGGGGTATGTGTTTCGTAGGAATATATGCTTGTAGCATATTGTCATATCGCTTGTTCATCAAGGCCAAAATTCAAGTGGCCGATCTAAATGCCTTGAATAGACCGAGGAATACACCTCGGTGTATAGGAGACCAACATCTACAATTTGCCCCGACCAACCTCTATCTTGATGACATAAAAATGCTTCAGAATATGGTAAAATAATTGGAGCGTTAGATATATTTATATTTTGGAAGTAGGTAAAAAGAACACTCAGGTCAAGCTTGATATTGTAATGTTCATCGTTCAGCCACCTGTTCAGCCACTCTATCCCTTCCATCCGGACTCTGCTTTCCTTTCTCCAACAATTCGAACTTTCGAACGACCTGAAGGGTAGCATAATAACTGAAAGGCAAGGCGATGAACCACAGGCCGAGATTAATACTCGCCGTTGCAATCAACGCTGTCGGCACAGCCTGGACGCCAAATCCAACTGCTACTGCAGCGGTTTCGATCCCCCGAAGCAATGAACTGTATCGGATTTGATCGCCGGGCGAGTCCGAGAGATTTCCGATACACCAGTATATATAATTTTCGACCAAGCCAAGACTGATGCGTTCAAAGAGATACAGGCCAAAGCCACGACCGAAGGTGCTCTGGTCGCCCCAATCCAATACGGGGTTGGTATGTCGGTACTCGTTTTGAATAATGACCGCCCAAATCCACGTCGCACTGTTCATGAGTGCGATCACGATGAATGTGACTATTGCTCTATGTTTCCGATTCTTCAACCAAGGCAGATCCACCAACGACCCACCCAACCAGGTGGCAAGTGTTCCCACCACAGCAGACATGAAGCTTCCGAGTGCCCGAGCGCGAACCGTGAAGTAGGTCGCGAGATATGTGCCAGGATATGCTTGGATCCAGCCGAAATACCAGAAGAGCGGGACCAGGAGCAAGATTGACCTGCTCCTTGCCAGCCGCCACATCGCCCGGAGCTCATCACGCCAGTGGATGCCACGGGGGGCCTCGATACGTGTTCCATCATCTCTTTGTACTTTCTCTGGGTTTGACAAGAGAGGTCCAATAACCAGGCCAAGACACTGGATGGCAATGAATGCGAGATACGTCTGGTACCCAACCTGTCCGCGGTGATTGACGCTGTGGTTTATCCCCAAAGAGACGGCGCCACCGATGATGTTGCCAAAATTGCGGAACGTGAACCAGGTCGCAATGTAGCGACCACGCTTGTGTTGCTCGGGGTACCCTGTGGCGACAGCGCCCTCAACACTCCAAAAAAAACCAGCGCTGATACCGCAAGTAACACATCCGAGATACACAAGCCATGTTGCGCCAGTGCGATTGTTCAAATACAATCCCGCTGCGTAGAGTGGGTATCCAAGCGACCCCAATGTCAGGGTCCACCGAAAGCCAATCGCATTTGTGATGAATGGACCTGCAAAACAGGTCACTGTCATGAAGGCGTATAGTAAGGCATTGGCTGTGTTGACCAAATCTGGGCTCTGGGATCCGCCCACACCCAAACCATTCATTGCACTCCATATCCCTGGCGCACAGAATGCACATAATCCTACTACCAGGATCTGAAAAAGTGTACTGTAAAAAAATTTGGGACGAGGTGGTGGGTGTTCATCTTGGCTTTCCACAGTCGTGGATATATTGGTTTTGGCATCGGAATTCACTGAGGCTGCGGACATAATTACAGTGTGGAGTGCAGATGATAGAATCACCGCAAATGTGATCCATACTATACACAGGAGGTAGCAAGTTTATTTTATAATGGAAAAACCTCGTATACCCTGTTTATCGAGACGATGCCCAGACAAGCACGTAACACTATACGTGCATGGCATAATCACGTTATCGCTCGGCAATTGATGATGAGGCCATAATGGGCTTGAAAGGTGTCTTGTATCACGAATCATGGCAAAGCTATCCAATAATATCCCGCTATCTCGGCATTTGTGAGGGGTCGTGCTTTTGCTTTTAACTACAAATGTATGCGCTTGAACTATAGCTCAATCACTTATCTTACAATTACCTTCAGCAATGGCAACAACTACCGAAGAGCTGCAAATCAGCCAGCTTCAGTTGGACTCTATCGTCGCATTTGAATCCTTTGACCTCCCAACTTCCAACCAACGTATTCTCGGATCTCCGCATCCTAAGAACACAGTTATCCCACTTGCGCTGCGACCCACCAAGGCCGACGCCAAGGCAACGCTCGATGCTGTGGTCGAAACAATCAAGACTCTCCAAGAGAAAGACGGCATTTTGACCAAGAAGCTCGCAACGCATGGCACGCTGCTGTTTCGCGGTCTACCTATCCACAATGCAGAAGACTTCAGCAAATTCGCGCATGCCTTCGGTTACAAACCACACGAGATTATTGGCATTGTAGTCGATAGACCACTTCTTGCACCAAATGTCGCGCCCGCCAACGAAGCGCCCAAGGAGGTCCTGATATATAGCCACAACGAGTCACCGCAAGTACCACATGCGCCCGAGTATATCTTTTTCTATGGGCATCATGCACCGTCCAAGGGCGGCGAATCACCGATCTCTTCTTCGTTGGAACTGTTCAACCGCGCACAGCAAGAAATCCCAGAATTTATCGCTGAACTAGCAGAGAAAGGAGTTCTAAGCAAAGTGACCTACCGAGTGGAGCAGCAGTATGAAGGGGGATCCACACTCAAACAGGCCTTTGGCAAGGAAATTCAAGACGGTGACGACGAAGAGACAAAACGCCGCAAGATCGAGGCTCAAATTGCCCGCTACGGCAGAGGGGAGCATACAACATGGGAGTGGACTGATGATGGCCTTGTCTTGACGCACCGGCTACCGGTCATTCGAACGCAGCCCGGTACAAATCTACCGACTCTTTTTACTGGGCTGGCAGCCTATTGGAAACGTACACAGTTTGACACCGAAGCGCGCACGAAGGTCACGCAACAGCTCTTTGGGGATGGGACGCCTATTCCTGACAAGTATCTTGCACACCTGGCGAAGATCACGGATGAGATTCGGGTCTTGCATCGTTGGCAGGAGGGTGATGTGTTGGTTTATGATAACATCATTGCTCAACATGGTAGAGAGCCATGGCAAGGGGAGCAATCTGATCGAGTGATTATGGCAAGTCTATTTGATGGTGAAAGCGTGCCGGGGGCTTATGGATTTGGGGATTGGGCGCAAGTTGTGCAAGCACTCGATTGAACCGCTTTTTGGGGGGAGTACACAGTACTGGTCGAGTTACGAGAGACTGTCTGATTGGGACCATCTGTACGAATCTTAATGCGCTCTCCTTGTTTGGGGTTTGAAGTCATGCATCTTTTGTTGTTTTACGTCCGGTGTCAATCCGAGCTATAGCAACCATCTAGTCGGTTAATTGTACTCTTTTTAAACAAAGATCCCAGTTTCAAATGCTATGAAGTATATCATCACGCCGAGAATGGCGACATTAGCCAAGTAGATAGTGGGGCTATTCCTAGGGCAGTCCGGAAAGGAGGCAAGGCACAGCTCCCGTTCTACGAAATGCCGTCGCAAACCAATATTTCATGGAGTTATGGAGATGATTTGGAGAAGTCCACCAAATCAAACTTTACCAAGTTCACCAACATCTTCCACTAGTATAACAAGAGAGTGTACGTACGCAAGACAGAACGTTAGTGTAGAAACTCAACGCATGAAAGAATTGATGGTGCCAATGATAGATCGATATGCGCCCTAGCATGATCCCGCTTAGTTGCTAGATGTGATTTGGAAAGAACCGCGAGAATTTAGCTTGATAACACCTTTTATTGATACTCAATGGAGATGTTAACTAACAGAAAGGCTTTGGGCTAGAGCATGGACGAGGCATTGGCTATACCTAGGAGGATGCAGAACAGCAGGTGATGAAGCTACCCCAGTAAGCATCTACGTGTTATGCATTTATCTAGTTGATTGTTTGCTTCACTTCAACCCATGATGCAGTTATCACTCCATAATCTCGTGGGCTGTATGGTATCCCGCCTGTACATATAAAATAGAATATTGTGGTGGAATTATGACATGGGCTCTCTTTCCTTTCGTATATATCTGTTTTCTCCGTTTTTTTCCCTTTTTATTTGAGGGCTTTCAGTGTTCGCTACATGGATACCTCATCAATCATTGATCGTTCATTGCTCCATCGACATGTCCTCCAAGGAATCGAAAATTATAGTGGTTCCCATAGACAACCCAAAATGAGGGATTCTAATACTCACTCGCTATTCTATATGAAACCTTAGGGCACAAAAATTTGAATACCAATGTCGCTTCTTCTACTGACCTTACGTTTCTCTTAAATCATTTGAGGCAAGATTTTGAACTTTTACTAGACATAATAGGCCTCACAGACAAAGATAACGTTGATGCGACCCAACTCAGCCCAATAGGTCCGCTAGCTTCCATAATGCAACATATTGCAGAAACAAGTGCCTCCACTTCTCGGCCCCTAGACTAGGCCCACGGTCTCCAACATCTAGTCAGATGAGCACAGAAACATGCAGCACTTGGGCAACAGATTAGAGCGGTGGCACCAGAAGGGCAAGAGTGTAGGCACTGTCGGCAGTACGAGGGTATCTTCAAGTCATGTGTAGTTTTCACTTACAATATAGCCGGAGTGCCCACGGTTATGTACAATGGTACTTGCATGAATTTCCGCTGGTTAGGCGGCAGATGCAGAAGTTTTAGCGCACTCATTCTTTCCATAGTGATGCTAATTATGTCCAGTTCAACTCGAAGAAGGCAGAGCACCAGCTTGGCTCCGGAAAATATGGAAACTTTGCCATATCTTGGTCTTGGCTCGTTGCATGTCTCAAATACCACTCGCAATAAACGAAAAGCCATTATTCGTGACTCCAGGCAATCTCTAGTCCCAGATCGGGGCATATAACAAAAGGGGTCTTTATCAACTATTTTATAGGAATACTCCACTGATGCGCCTGCTTCGAAAGCCAGTAAGTAGAAAGGATGACGAGCCATCTACTGGCACCCCTTCCCTGGCAGGACCCCAGTATAATGAGACTTTTTGAAGAACTTCACGTTAGGGCAGACAGTAAAAACTATATATATCTTGTGGAAAGATACCTGCTAGGGTGTCTAAGAACCCCCAAGAAACTATAAATTTATGTTCGACGACCAAGGATATATATCGCCGTGTATGCTATGAACTTATAAACCCATTGTTCGTTGAGTCTCTACGACTTGAAACACCATAAATATATCTTCCATTGCCTATATTTGAGTTATTAACTTGAGGCTTGAAAATTATTTGTGCCCCTATCATACTTGCATAGCCAAAGCTCAATGCCAAGCCACGAGCCAAGCTAAAACACTTTCAGCTGAGGGGCCCCGAGCCTACACACGTCACATCTTTTGGTCGCCATGGGATCCTCATACTCCACGGCTTCTGGGTATCTCAACCCTGTCCAAAATGGAGCTTCAGCTTCCGATGAAGAATACAACACCTACTACCCAAGGAAGTCAGCAGATGCCGTCGAGAGTTTCAACATTCTCCGACAAAAGTTGCCGTCTGAACTCGTCCTAGAGATTCTGGAATTCGCAGAATATTGGGTATTATCTGCCGTCTACAGAGAAGACAGTATGGACTATACTGAAGACGACTGTCGCGATCGAATTCCATATTTGACATCCGAGCCCATTCAAGGCGAGCGATTTCCCGTTCAAGAGATAAGAATCGACATCTGGAGCCATGACCAAGGATGGAGCAGCTATCGCGAAGATCATGGCTCATTCAGAAACTCTTGGACATGGTTCGATCTAGGTATAGAAAGACCACCGGGTCGAGATGATATCTCCAAGGATGAAAATTTACGTCTGGCGACCAATGTTCATGCTAAACGCGAAACCGCGTGTCATCGGATTACCTATCAGAGGGACCAGAAACTCCACTGGATGCAAAATCTTCAAGGGGGCGACCGGATTTCGATTATCCCACGGGCGCGCTTTCCTGGCTGGAGGAATACCGTGAAAAGAGCTTCCATTGAGATTTACACTACTCCTGTTCTGTGACCATGTGCCTATATTATTTCTATCGGTTTCAAAGCCAATCTATATAGTCTAGTTGATACATAGGCGAATGTACAGGCTTTCTCGGTTGTTGAGATCTATCGACGCGTCCCCGGAGATAGAATGGCAGCTACTTCTTCATACACAGAAAATACAATGCCACCGCTTAACAGAAGCCGGCCCAGTCTCATGGAGCTACCCTTCCAAAATCCCCGAATCCCATAATCACGAATCACGCTCCGGGAGGCCTCAACGATGCCAGCTCCCTGCACACCCTGCGCACGTGTCTTGATGGTATCAAATGGTTGTGTAGCGTAGACAGTGACTACACCTGCCAAGGCACCAATCCCGAAGGTTGTGAACATGTTTGGCTTGATGCCCCTAGCCTTGGTGGCCTCCCTGAGCACGTTGTACGTTCCCATACGAACAGCAGAAGTAGCCGATTGCTTCATCATCGTGGAGAAAAGACCACGATATAGCTCGGTGATACCATTCCTTTGCACTAGCACTTGGATCGCATGTATGCTCGACTTGAATTGGCGAGCGCCTTTTGCATCGTCGATTCTGTGGCGGGATCGATCAGCTCAAATACCACGAACCGTAAATGGTAGGAGATACCTACAATGCTGTTTTAATTCTCTCGGTCGGTGTTACTGCTAGGACACTTTCTACAGCGCCGGCAGTCATCCCAGCAAGCATCCCCCGGCCAGCTGAGAGAACGCCGCGATCATCTGCAAGAGAATTACGGATCGTGTCGTATGACACGAACCGGACGGCGGCTTTTGCTGTAGTTCCCTACAGAGTTTGGTCAATATTATGTCAATAATAATTTGGAGTGAATAGACCAACGATGACAAGAGTTGAGCACCCTGTGTACAAAGCACCGACACCTTCCTGTCTTGCAACTTGGATGATGAGACTGAGTGGGTTGGATGTCCTGATAGCGCTGTCGTTCAACAATTGAACACGTGTTTTTGAATACTCAAATGGATACTGTAATGGTCAGTTACTGGGCAGTTATGTGCATTGAAGAAACTGACCGTTGTAGCTGCTTCCACTCCACCGGCAATGCCTCCGGCCACAAGGGACACCCACTGGGGCGTATGAAACTGGACCAAGTTAGTTGGAGTATCTAAATGCACAATGAAATATATTACCCTCGCATTTTGTGCCTCGGGCCCTGATTTGGTAGGCCTAGACATGGTGTAATGAGTAGTAGCTTCTACCGGTTGAGGACTTATATGTGGTGTCTTCTGTGAGGAGGAACGGGGGATCATCCCCCGATATGCGGGGAGACGGGGGCGAACGGAGAGGGAGTTGCCGAGAATATCGCATCAACTGGCCAGAATCTTTTATCTTGGATCACACACACAGCATTGTTATCACCCCTAAATAAACCAAAAAAAAGGTAGAGCGTTAAATATAAACGCGCCCCTTCCTCGGTTCACACACAAGCTCCGACGTAAAAGTAAAATTATACAGGTGCGGTTTCGCAGCACCAGTGCGAGTCAAACCATTAGGGTCTTCGTCAGCATCTGTTGCAGCTCTTCATTTCCACCCCCACCCTCTCCCACTGGCATCCTCATCCCCATCAATCCGATGTGAAAATACCATCAGGCCTCGATCCAAGTAGGTGCCCGGAATCTCATTCTCACCTCACTGCACAGGTTTGAGCGCATGGTTAGCGTTGTCGTCCATGCTGGATGTCGTAGGATTGCAGGCAGCACTAATAGCGGCACTACACTGTACCACTAGCGGCATCGAGCATTCAAAACGGCGCAGGCTCAGGAGTATTGGGACGAGAAGTAGCAAACCCCCGAGGATAATACCGAACAACGTAGCAACAGATGAGTAACCACATGTGTTAAAGTCCAGGAAATTGATAGGCTCGCCATTTAGATCAAAGGGAGTGTAGTAGTTTGCGATTCCTCGCGTAGTTGTTGTATTCCATGGCTCTGAGCATAGCGGTCAGCAGGGCATTGAGCATGAAGTAGGCCATTGAGCATGAAGTAGGCCATTGAGCATGAAGTAGGCGATTGAGACGAAGAGTTGGACATTGGGTAGGAGGATCGTGGGGAATGTTCTCGCTGCGCTAGATGGGATGGGTAGGTAGATTAGAGTTGATGGGCGTGCCTCGCCCAGAGTGTTGTCCCAGATGGTCGCGCGAGATAAATTGGAAAACCACTAGACGACGCGCAGAGCTTGGATGCTTGGGCCAATTATGCCGACAAATCTGAGATGTTAGTATAATTTAAGTTATTACACAGATAATTATACTATCCTCCCTTCACTGGTGCTGTTATATATACAATATGTCAAGTCCATATTTGCTTGCGAGGTATGACATGCTGTGCAAGGCTGGAGGATGTCCTTTCGACCTAGGTGGGCAGCCTTTATATAAGATGAACTGAACTAAACGTCTGGCTTTCAAGGCTTCAATGTACACAAAGCGAACATCAAATGGCAGATAGATGCTGAAAGCCCCGATCTGGTTCGTCTGATATATAGAGCAGTTTATATAGAGACAAGGAACCTAGCTAGAAACTCCATGGTGTAAGTCGGGCCAAGCAGCAAAATTGAATCATCAAAGATAATAAGCACAATCCCTGAAGTTTCACTTTCGAGTTATCTTTATACTAAAAAGGACATTCGCCTTTACTCATCTCTGCAAGTGTTACGTGTCCCCTGATTAGTTACACCAAGCTTGGGCAGTCTAAGTTTAGCGGGAGCCTCTGTCACTTAGACACATGCAGATGAGCAGCGGACAAGTGTTTCCTCACGTCTCATATTCAATCAGGTGCGCGCTGTCTTTGAGTGCAAAGCTGAGTTGACTTTAAAGGTGTCATGCATTCACCCCATACGTCTGAGATAAGTATACAATCTGCCAATTCCAGGGGCAAACGAGCCCAATTCCGAGTTTCACAATGGCCAGCCACTGTCTCGCATGGAGACAGAGCCGCCTCCTTCTTATCGCGACTGTCGTTTTTGGCCTTTCAATGGAAAACCACACAACCTCGCCGGCCTGCCGTTGCATGCTGCAAGATCCCTGCTGGCCTGAAAACCAAATATGGGCTCGATTCAACGAAACAGTGGACGGACAGTTGATTGCGACAGTCCCGATCGCTAGCGTCTGTCACATCGACTCGTTCACCACGTACAATGAATCGCAATGCGCCCAACTCCAGTCCGATTGGGGCTTCCCAGCTACACACTATGAAAGCCCCTCATCAGTCATGGCCCCCATCTTCACAAATCTAAGCTGCGATCCCTTCTCGTCGAAAACTTCACCATGCACGATCGGGAATTACGTCCAGTACAGCGTAAAGGCCACAACCGCCGCACACGTCCAGAATACAATTCATTTTGCAGCTCGTCACAACATCCGCCTTGTCATCCGCAATACAGGACACGACCTACTTGGGAGGTCGACTGGAGCTGGAGGCCTTGCGATCTGGATGCATAGCATGAAAGATATTTTCATCGTGGACTACAGCTCACCGCACTATTCAGGCAAAGCGATAAAGGTGGGAGCTGGGGTTCAGTCATTTGAAGGCAGTGACGCGGCTCATAGCGCTGGACTTGTTATCGTGAGCGGCAGCTGTTCAACGATCGGGCTGGCTGGGGGATATTCGCAAGGCGGCGGGCATGGCCAACTGGTGTCCCATGTAGGGCTGGCCGCTGACCAGGTCCTAGCATGGGAGGTTGTTCTTGCAAATGGGGATCTGGTAACCGCTTCTCCAACAGATTATCGAGATCTCTACTGGGCTCTGGCGGGCGGAGGTGGAGGAACGTACGGCGTGGTGGTGTCGATGACTAGCAAGGCTTACCCTGAGCTGCCGACGACATCGGGTAACCTTTCATTCTCCGACACAGGTGTATCGCGAGATACATTCTTTGCAGCGGTTGAGATGTTCGTATCGATTCTTCCCTCGATCGGGGACGCTGGAGGTGCGGGTGTTTGGTGGTTAAGTAACACCACACTGGCAATGACGCCTACTACCATTCCCGGTGGCACATCAACACTTTTCGATTCTCTTTTTAGTCCCTTAATTGTATTCCTCCAACAAAACAACATACAGCACAGTGAGTAATGATGACACAGATTTGGAATGAACACTTACAGAGGTTGGACAGCATATTATGTGGACGATTTCCCGACGTACTACGACGCATTCCAGACGATGAGCCCACCGGACAACATCACTGACCAACTTCTCGGTGGCCGCCTAATTCCAAGATCTGTAGTTGAGCAGAATCTGACAGATCTAACTACCACATTCCGTGATATTGTGGAAAGGAATACCGGATTGCTCATATCAGGAATCACGGTCAACTCTTCTCGAGTTCCATATCCTGACAACAGTGTTAATCCAGCCTGGCGAGATGCGCTGATGAATGTTGTCATTGGAGCGTATGTATTTTACTTCTTTCCAGACTTATACAAGCTTTCATTAATCGTAATCCAGGACGTTCGACTATGCTGACTGGGATGGCGATATCGCTAGCCAGCAGCTCATTACCGATGTTCTTATGCCCCCGCTAGAAGGATTGACACCTGGAAGCGGCGCATATTTGAATGAAGCCGATCCAAATCAAAGAGATTGGCAGCAGGTGCTTCATGGGGATAACTATGATGATTTACTAGGAATTAAGAGAAAATATGATCCCGACAGCAGGTTTTACGCTTTCAAGGCTGTGGGTAGTGAGGGTTGGACAGTGACTGAGAATGGTCGCTTGTGCAGATCGCAAAGTTATCAGAAGGGATGACCATACGCATGATGGAAAACCGGGATATGCCCTTGTGCATCTGTAAGCTTAACAATATGAATGCATATTTCTGGTCCAGCCGACCGCTTATGAATAACAACATATCACCCACTTGAGTTTCTTTTCCTGGACAACTCGGTCACGATCTCCCGAAGGTTAAACACATTATCACAGAGACCACCATCCCTTCTCAATCATCGTGGCCGCAACTCCCTTCAGGGTCGGCCAAAGGGAACTAATGCCACGTGCTGCATTATCTGAAAGTGGCCCGTCCTTCCGGGCGTCGACATAGTCTTGGAGCTGCTCCAGAGTGCTAGGTCCGATGACAATTCGGTCGGGATCCTTGAGGTTTGAATGGAAGAGCAACCAGCGAAGGGCGCATTGGGCCCCCGTAGTCCCCAGCCTTTTACCAATATTGTCCAAGGATCGCATCGCTTGATGATAAATGGGCTGGTCGTACCACATGCGGTAAACTGCACCCAGCATGTTACCTTCGCCGACCTCGAAGCGGGTACCCTCCAACTGCTCAGGCGATGGAGAATATGAAAGCTTCCCTGTGAGGAATCCACCCGCTAACGGCGAGGTTGCCTCAAAGTCAATACCAAACTCACGAAGTACGGGAAAGAGATCATCCTCGTAGCCCCGGCAGAAGACGTTGTACTGGCCTTGATAAACAGATGGCATAATCAGGTTTTCCTCCACTGCGACTTCCATCCAGGCGCGGATCGCAGAGGGGCTGTAGTTGGAGAGACCCAGCCTTTCAAAGCACCCTTCACGGTAGTAATGGTCGAAGTGTGCAGCTTGCAGCGGAATCGGAGTCGTACGGTCTGGGGCATGAGCGTAGAGGGTGCGAATCTAGATTAACTAACCACATTAGTATCATGATAGTAAGTACACATCTTTTACTCGCCTTCTTGACCTGCAGTCGCTCTAAACTGCCCTTGATAGAGGCGCCCATATTTTTGAAGGACAAAGAGTCATCGCCAATGAAGAGAACCTTTGTATCGATGACTGCATTGACTGGCTTCTTGTTGCCGAGTAGTTCCTCAGATGACCCAGGATTTGAGGCGGGATACAGGGCAGCCGTGTCGAATTGATTGATTCCAGCCTCTGTGAGACTCGTCATCAGGTGGTCAACGTTGTCAGCCGTCCAGGCCACACCGAATCCCTGGGCGCCGAATACATAGCGAGGGGTATCCATGGCTGAATGGAAGAAGTGATGGCAGTAGTTGAAACAGTTGAGAATGATTTGAGAGATGGAGAAATGAGGAAGTGGAAAGGAGTGTTTGACCTGGAAGGCGCGTTGCACAAACATCTTGCCACTTGTCAAACATTGGATTGTTCAAGTGTAACTCATTTGCTATATATTTTCAGGAATTTATTTCTGAACACTTAATCTGCTTTGCTTTTAGCTAGAGCCTGGTTTCCAAATTCCTCCATCTTCGCAACCAGCTCCTTTGTCCAACTAAGGTGCGGCGAGTGACTGCAGGGTGCACGGTAGATCGTGAATGGCCTCTTCTGACTCGCTGCCATCTTCTCTTGATACTCTTTGGGCAACATGCGGTCCTTTTCCAACACAAGATAGGCGCACGGAAGCGCATCATACGGAGAGTGGGTAAGAGGACTATTCATAACAGGAGCTGCTGTCAACGTGGCTGTCCATTTCTTCGCGGTCGCTGCATCAACATCGTGGAAGAGGTATTGTTCAGGGTCAACCAAGGTTCCAAGGCCATGAACGCCATGTTTCTATTATTAACCGTCAGTGTGTACAAATATAGGTTGGTTCACTGGTAAACCCACGTGGAATCGCATAAATGGAGGTGTGATAACTTCGCCTTCTGCAGGATAGAAGAATGAATGCACTGATTGGCCTTGTGGAATAATGAATGCCCCGATGAAAAAGATCCCAATGACACCCCCAGTCTTTCCGTCCCTTGCGCGAACGGGAGCTTGGCGCGAAGAGTGTGCAGCCTCGGCGGCGACCCAACCACCGGAGGAGTGTCCTGCGAGTAGCACCGATTTCCCTTGTGCAATCAACTTGTCAAGCAACAGCCCAATATCTGTCGCATCATCTGCAGGGAGTGGATAGCCTCCTGGGGGAGCCCTACGATCAAAATCCGGATTACTCGGGTTGCCGACATTGAGTTGAGTGAGATCACAAGTGGGCCGTTGGGGACAATAGGTTTCAATACCCTTTTCAGTCAAGCCATCAACAAGAGCTTGATATGGGGCGGGAGTATGATAGGAGCCATGGCAAATGACAATCGCGAAGGAATCCATGGTTAATTGCGAAGGAGAAAAAGTTGTAAGGCAAAAAAGGGCAAGGCAATGTTCCCCGCATGTGGTTTTGGCCTTAGATTGATGCCTGACAATTTTAAGAGTTTGACAAGGATCCAATTGGTTTATCTCAGGTATTTTAATCCACTAATTTCAAGGTGATACAAATCTGACATGCATTACGGAGCGTAAGCGTCTGTTCGGTGTGGAAGTTCACAGTCCCCTGATATGTGGAGCAGCAGTACGGAGCAGCGCAGATCTCCCGATGGAAACGTGCATCCACATGCCTCATATTGATCTCTGACAGAATGACTGCTTTTCAAACAGTATCGTTTTCACACACCCGAGGGAGCACATTGAGACTATGCACATCGAGGTCGCGCGTCACTATAATGCCCGTGTCTGGAGCTTCATTCTCAGCTCCAGTCCCGACATGCGATGTGGGCGCATCAGGCTCCACTTCCATTGCATGTCCTCGCTCTTCGCGATCATTGTGACTGTGGTCAAATGTAGAAAGTAGAGAATCGAATTTTGGACGACGGCGTATTCGAGGTGACCCAATTGTAGGCAAATGATGTGGTCGCGCTGAACGCACGCTTCGCCCGCGAAACAATAAGGGTCCAAATGTTGGAACACAGGCCACCAAGATTCCGGCCGTAATTTCTGCCATGATGAGAATAGAGGAGTCTCTGAGACAGTAGATGAGGTCGTCAGCGGGACACAATTTGGTCTGAACAATGCGGCCCAGGTTGATACCGGCCGTTCTACTTGCGGTCAGCGACTAAATATGAAACGGGACAGAGTTCATGGGAGACTTACAGGATGCCTATCGCGAAAGATGCTGTGACGCCAGTCTTCTTGCGACTCGACATTTGTAGCCGCCAGACAATAGGAAGCGGTAGCAACACGACTCCCAAATCAATCCCCATGTTGAACCCTGCAGATGCATACTGTATCTTGAGAATATCTCCACAGCTCCCTGGAATTGTTCGGTCCCAATTGTAGGCGACCGGACGACAGAGCAAAGCGATGGTCAAGATTGCAGATATCCAGTATAGCAAGACAAGACATCCCACTCCAGTTGCGCACCAGAAGAATTTTTGATTTCCTGGGAAAACCTCGATATATAAAATTAGAATGGCGAGTCTAAAGCAGACTGTTGAGGTGGCCCACATCCATTCTGATGCCCAGAAAATCTAAGTAGGTCAATACCTCGCATGAACGTTCAAGGACACAGACAAAGTACCTTCAATGCACTAGTCAACTCTCCCGGGTTGCGTACAGCCATGGTCGCCGTATGGCCGCCATAGCCAGCCGTTGTAGCCCCTAGTATGAAGTCTCAGCTCCGGTTTCCGCGTAGATCGGATCAACCTACCAATTAGCATATCCACCACATAACCGGTCAATAGCACCTGAGGCTACCATCAGCGGGCTGAAGATGTAGGCATCCAGTCACACCCACCAGTGAGAAGAAAACAAGATAATCATGGATTTTCAAGCCTCGACGACGTATATATGTGGAGGAAACTCGAAGTGCAACGGCTACTGCAGCAATAAAGAAAAATATTAAACTCCATACAATCAAAACTGGAGAGCGATGGTTCAAGTGGATCATATTTGAAACAATTGCAATGACGAGGTCTAACAGTATAAAGGAAGTTGTTCGACGGTATATATGTAGCCTGACAGCAAAAGTGGTAGGTTGAAAAGAACAATGGCATTTGCAAACCCAAGAAGGGCCGTAATTTCAACCAATCTGCTATGGTTGTTCAATTTGGGGGACAGCACATGCGAAGAGTGTCTGATAGGGAAGGTGTCCATGAACCCTGTAGACTTCATTTCGTACAACCTGAAAGCTTTGACCTCAACTTCATCCAATTTGCACATTAGCAGGATTTCAGCTGAAGTACCCGAGTGAGACCCTAGCGACTGTAGTGAGGGCCGAACCTCCAAGGTTGTTCTGGGAAATTACAGAGACCCTGTCATCCACAGCATCGAAACCACAATCTTCCCACCAACGCTTCCTATATCCTCTCTCTATCTGTACATTCCTAGACATCGCCGTCCTCCCGTTTGACCCAAAGTACGATCCTTCAAAATGTCTATCTTTCGGGATACCTACGCGGAGAATATGCAGCGAGATTCCACCGAAGCCCAAAGGTAAGAACCGACCAACAGCCAATAAAGATACTGGACACTAACATCGGCGGCTCCGTAGACTAGACGAGCAATTCGATCTCCTTACCGAGTAAGAGAACCCGCCGAGCCGTGTGTGGCGAAACAGCCCACAAGCAAATCATACTGACTCTTGCTGACACAGAAACATCGGCTACCTGCTGCATCCGTCCGTTCGAGACAAAATGCACCCGCACGCGCGAGTCGCTGACATCGCCACGGGCACTGCAGCCTTCCTGCGCGACCTAGCCCACGACTGGCCCGATGCAATCCTACATGGCTATGACATATCAACTTCGCTCTATCCACCCGCCAGAACACTCCCCAGAAACGTGACTTTGCACCTACTGGACGCACGCAAGGATGTTCCAGTCAACCTCTACGGACAGTATGATATCGTGCATGTTCGGCTGATCGCTGCCGGTCTAACAGCCCCCGAATGGGGTAGAGCTGTCCGCAATCTTTCTCGGCTCCTAAAACCTGGTGGAGCCATTCAGTGGGAAGAGTGCGACTTTACTAACGTTCGCCACCTCCCCGGTCAACCTGATTCTACGACTGACGCTGCTAGTGCTATGGGACTGATGTACATGACTGCCATGAAACCCCGCTTTGACTATGGCTGGAATCGATTGGCGACCGAGATGCGCGCTGCGGGTCTTGTAGATGTTCATACCGAGGCTGTTTCTGCGGGACGGGTGTATGATACCCGCGCGCGCTTGACTGCAAATGGAATGAGGGCGATGTTCGCGTGGGCGCGTCTCCATTCTGCTAGAAGGACGCATGGGGCGCTACCTATGCAGCATATTGAAGATCTGGAGCACAAGGCTTATGCGGATATTCACTCAGGTTGTTATGTTACATATGACATCCACGTTGCCTGGGGATTTCGGCCTGAATGAGAACAGCGAACAGAGTTTTTCTGCAAGTTGTATCTAGCTGACACTTTCTCGCATGGAATTTTCAAAGAAGTCAATCAAAATCAATGAACAATTATTGGCACTCATGACCTTCACTACCAGCCCTGTCTCATTTTGCATGGCTTATACGCGACTTTCAAACACAAGCCGACAAGCACCAGGCTGAGCAGTCAGCTGGTCCTTCATATCTCGTTCCACGGCCTCGCCATTCTTTTCACCGGGCGCAAATTTGATCCGATGGCGAAACACCAAGGCAGCACTTACGAGACGGATTTGTGCAAGAGCTAAATGGCGGCCAACACAGCTTGTACGCCCTGGCGAAACAGAAATTCAGCATACGAGCCTCTTGTAATCCCGTGCAACCCAGCTGGCCACATGGGAATCTCATCACCAGGGTCAATGGTAGGATTGTCGCTTACCGACACCAAAAGGAGCAAATGCCCTTTTATCCTTGATCAGCTCCGGCTGGCTGTACCACCGCCCGGGAATGAACTCATGGGGATGGACATATGCTGTCTCAACTTGAAGCACTTTAGTATTTCTGACCAAAGCGAGGATATGGAGATTCTCACGTCGACCGATTGTATAACGTGGTGCACATATCTTCGTGTTTCCTGGGATAAACGTGCCATCTATCGTGAGTCCTTCTGGTGGAGTTACCCGAGAGCTAAATGTTAGTACTGCAGGAAGCAATCGCATGGCTTCGTTTATAGTCCCATTCAAATGTGGCAACGTAGCCAAGGCAGCTGGGCTCTCTCTATCAACCTCGCGTATCTCTTCATATATCCTCTCAGTATGTATGGGATAGCGAGCGAGAAAATAGAAGAGAAGGGTTAGACTCGGTGCAGTGGTATCGCTGCAACTATCAGTCCGTTGTCTCATAATATCCAGTCTTACTGACCTTCCAGCTACAACTAACGTTGCAGTATCACCGCTCAACCACTTTGCCCGTGTGGGATCTGATTCGTGTTTCGCGTGGTCTTCAATGAACCAAGACGCAATGTCGCGATCTGGGGGTGTTTTCTACCTCTATGTTAGCCACAAACGCAATTACCAGTATGATGTTTAATACCTTCATCCGTCGAGCCATGCATTGATCGCAAAACTCAAGCATATGGAACCAGTGTCGGACCTTCCACACGGTGGGAATAAATGCAAACCCCAATCTCGGGATCCATATCGCAGGGCTGAGTGGACCCAGCAATGTGAGCGCTGAGCGGAGCATGGCTATTGACGAATGCCACCTCTGGTTCCTCATCATGCCGAAATCTTCGCTGAAAGCAAAATCACCCATCGAGTCAAAAGCGAAGAAATACATCAGGTCGTTTATGAGGACAGGGCGTGATCGTTCCAAAGTAACCAGTCTTTCCAATATTTGTACCTTTTCCACCACCCGCCGATGATATTGGAGCAATGCTGAACGACTGTCAGTCTTCGATATATTTTGGACCATGGTGTCGACCAAACCCTTTGTGCTCAGCGCTTGCTCCCACACCTTCCGCCGTTCATTATGCAGCTGTCGGTCGCGAGTAAAAATTGACGATATCCGAGGATATAGAAGGTCATACCAATCAGAGCGTGTATTTTTATTGTCATGGCCATCCATCGCCTCGTAGGCCTCGGGGTGAAATATGGTAATTTCAGCGGGACCTGAAGATTCAGCCCAATGTTATCACGGACTCCTACTCGACTTGTGATATCTCTTACCGGTTCGTACGAATTCGCCATATTTTTCGTGCCAGGCTTGCAAGACGAGATGGCCACGAGAGTCCCGGCATTTCCACACATGCCATAATTTGGTCACTGCTGCTAATTTTGGGCCGGGGAAGTTCTTCAACCGATGAAATATGAGTCGATATACTGTTATGTTAGTGAATAGTGACAACAGGTAACATGCCGCCAAGTATATTGTCTTAAGCAAACTGGCTTGGGCGCTTTCATGACCAAAAGCCTGGTTTGCAAATAATAGAGTGCCAAAAAGAAGATGAAGAACAAGGACCCTGGGACTCTTCAGGTGCCATTCTCCGTGAATAAAGACAAGTTGGTGGGCCAGCAGCCCCGTAACAATTGCAACTCCCCCTGGAGCTAACATGATTATCGAACTGATGGCTGTTTTGTTCTTCAAAGTGGGACGAGTATGGTGGCTACGATCAGGGTTCTTTGTATGAACGTCACAGAAAGAGAAATCAAAATGCAATGTTAGACAATACTCATGTTCAGCCATCGGAGGATATGACTAACCTTTTTCCAACAGGTGGTATCTAGGTATCCTAGTGCGTCGATGGTTTTCTATTTAGCATAGGTTTGATGCCATGTCCGACACATTCAAAAGTGTATCACATTCAGATTCTTATTTTCATCTCTTATTTAACCATTCGCCAGTTCTCAATTCCAGTCCCAACCCTCAAATTCCGTCGCGTTTGACATGCATCCACGACTCACGCCAGTATCATACACGATCAATTCAATTAAGCCGTCAACACTCATCAGTCATGAACCGATGTGTCTTAACTGCTCAAAGTGCATTGACATCACTGTGGTACCACTCATATACGATATGGCTCTTCATCTTCAGCGATTTCAAAACTATTGTGGCACCAAGTATCATTTTCGGCATCACAAACGCCTGGGCCGCATCGAAACACGACCCGCATATTCAAGGAGCTTTGCCCCCGCCACAATCCATCAGCCATTCTCTGGAGTCAATTGGAAGAGCTCTCGCGGCATCGCTATGGGTTGTGATGAACTTAATCCCATTCGCCATCAACAATCAACGGGGTGAAAGAGCCCTTGCGGAGGACCGTTTAAATAAGTCTTGGCGGCCCTTTCCTCGCGGTCGGATGTCTCACGAGTATGGAACACGACTCATGATCATTCTATATATATCTGCCCCGGTATATAGCCTTACATTCGCGGGCGGCTTCCGACATTCTGTGGCTTTAATATGGTTAGGGGTGTGGTATAATAATTGGGGTGGCGCGGACAAGAACCCGGTCATTCGGAACATTATCAACGGACTGGGATATTCCTGTTTCGCATCCGGAGCGATGGAAGTGGCCCTAGGTGGCTCGTTATTCCCTCTCCATAGATGGTCTCAGTGGTGGCTTCTCATCATCATCGGGATTATTTTCTCCACCGTCCAATTGCAGGACATGTCTGATCAACTCGGCGATGCTAAGCGGGGTCGGCGAACGGTGCCTCTTGTATGGGGTGATAATGTGGCGCGATGGACTATTGCTTTGCCTATGGTCTGTTGGGGAATATGGTGTCCGATGTTTTGGGGTGTTTCATCTCTTTGGTTTACCATCAGCATGGTATTTGCTACGGTGGTGGCCTTGAGGACTCTGCTGATTCGTTCTGTCCGAGGGGATAAACAGACATTTCGACTTTGGAATTGTTGGATTGCAGTCATCTATATGTTGCCCCTGTTCTCTCCTGTTCTCTCGGGCGGAACCTTTCGATAGCAGACTTTCAAGTCATGCTTGGTAAGAGGAATGGAGTCAATTGTTTGATCACCTCACGTTCATATATATTCGAATCTATACCCTCCTTAGGGATAGTTCGGTTAGAGAAAAAAATGTCTGTATTGCCCTTCGTAATCCACGTCATTACAGTCTGGGCAGTGGAGACCTAAATGATATGAGAGGTGCCGACATTTGCACCATAAAATTAACTTTCCTGCCATATTGCCCTCGCTAATTCCTCTCACTTATTCTTTATTGTTTATTCGGCTTTAATAATAATTCCGATGGTGACTGAATATGTATATGGTTATCCGGATCTGAACAAGCTTAACCCCGGTAATCTCCGATTTATATCCCATCCCCAGGTTCCAGTTTTTTTTCGTCATATATGCTTTTTCTTTGAACATACATTCAGAACATAAGTCATGGGTTTCTATTACTCGCAATTCTTCGTTACTCCGAAGTATCCAACCGAGTCTTTCGCAGATCAGACGGTGCTCATCACCGGCGCGAATGTCGGCTTAGGGCTGGAAGCTGCGCGTCACATCACGCGACTAGGCGCAGCAAAAGTCATCCTTGGTGTTCGAAATGTGCCTGCAGGCAAGCAGGCAAAGGAGGACATTGAGAAGTCCACAGGTCGTCCAGGAGTCTGTGAAGTGTGGGAGGTCGATCTGTCTTCCAACGCCTCAGTCCTTGCGTTCAGCGAGCGTGCCTCAAAGCTCCCTCAGCTCGACGTAGTCATCCTCAACGCAGCAATCGCCACAGAGGAATTTAGCCTTGCTGAAGGCTATGAGCGAAGCGTTACAGTCAATGTCATCAACACTCTATCGCTCGGCCTGCTCCTCCTGCCAACCCTGAAAGCTACACGACGAAAGAACACATCGCACACGCCACGACTTACCTTTGTTGTAAGCGAAGTACACGCATGGGTCAAGTTCCCAGAATGGAAGGAAGACGAGCCAATGAAGTTCGTCAGCGACCAAACAAGAGCCAAGATGACCGAGCGATACCCATTATCGAAGCTACTCCAAGTGCTGCTTGTGCAGGAACTAGCTGACCGGGTGCGTGAGTCCGAGGTGATCGTCAATATGCTGAACCCTGGTCTCTGCCATTCCCAGCTAGGGCGGGATCTTGGCTTGGGGTTCAAACTGGTTAAGCTGATATTGGCGCGCTCCACTGAGGTCGGATCTCGAACGCTGGTGGCGAGCGCTGCGGCTGGAGTTCAAAGCCACGGCGCATATATGACAGATGGACTTGTGGAGAACGCTGCCCTTTCACCTTTCGTGCGAAGTGATGAGGGGCGCCAAGCCCGTGAGAAACTGTGGGCTGAGCTGTCGTCGATCCTTGAGGGTGTTTATCCTGGGATTATGCAGAATGTGTCTTAGTTCCTGCACCTCCTTGTATGTAATTTTGAGTTGGCGAATTGAATGTACATAATTAGCAAGGTAGGGCTAAGTTTGTTTGATTTCTTCTCACCTAATATCTTACTTCGTACACTCCATTTGGAGCTGACTATTCGTACTACTGCTACTCCAGAGCTGATCATAGATATTGACGTAGATCGGTGCTAATTTCCGACATTAGATTGGCCAAACTAGGGTTAGAACACATACTTTTCTTGCCGTCTACTTCATTTGGACTACTCTTATTCGCAGAGTGCCACGAAAGCCCCGGCACCGATTTGCGCTGCTAGCTCGCACGCTCAAGCGGCCCATTTCCAAATACAGTCATCTTTCACAACAGAGCAAACCCTCCGGGATCGAGCACGATGCGATGCAGTATGGAGTACATCTTATGAGCTCCAAATATGCCGAACTGTCCCTATGGTTTGCCCAATAGTTGTCCGTGGCGTCAATAACGAGGGTTTTATTGATTGCCTACTTGGTTTAACAAAGGGATCGGTGCCAAGAGGTATATTCACAACGAGACCGCGAGCTACCGCATGCCTGTTCCCTGTGCAAGCTGCCGTACATTTAGGCCATAAAATCCCATATACTCGACCGTGTTAATTTGTTTCTCCGCACTTTACTTCACCTTCATCATGGCTCCTATCCTGTTAGAACCCGCAATTGTTGATTCCCAGCCCAGTACTGCTCCATTGAAGGCAGTAGTCAATGGTATTTCCACGAATGGAGTCGATTTCATCCTGAAGGAACGTCCTTGGCGACTCCTGCACCTGGTCGATGCCCTCGACCCGCCCCCACTAGCTCAAGGAGAACATCCAGATATCCATATCCAGCGACTACTCCAATTAGCCTGGGTCACCACGATCAAAACATTTTCCTGCTCGACAACCCTATACATTGGTCAAGACTATGCAAAGGGCCAGTGCTACATAGGCGAGACAGCTCATGGCTACTCGAGGCCAACCGCCCAGATCCATGTAGATCCTCATGACACAGTTAGAGATCTCTTCTGTGAGAGCATTGAAGCTCTAGGCCCATTATCCCATGTCAAAGTGACGGAGAATGGTCACACCGAGCAGGCTGACGAGTATTCCGGCTTCAATGTGACAATCATCTACCAGAAGCAACCGGCGGATCGCATTCTGTCTGGTCTAGATGCATGTGTGGGCGAATGCCAAGTCTGCTGTGGCATACCGGCGAGACAGCCAACAGAGGCTGACTCGATATTCGCCGGTCTCCGCCTTTCAATCCGACATACCTCCGGCGATAGGTTACACGCTCGACTGGATGTTGGGGGCACTGGGATTGGACTCCCATTGGCTACAAGCCTCTTGAACAGCTTCAACCAGGCCCTCTCATCAATTGACGGCGCATCCACACAGACGATCGGTAGCCTCGAGTTATGCTCCGCGCACGATCTTGGCCAGATTACCGAATTCACTAAAAACATCGCGCCTGCCCATGATTCCCTGCTACATGATCTTTGTTTACGACACGCGGAGACAGCCCCTGATGCTCCCGCCGTTCGCTCCTGGGATGGTGATCTGACATATCGCCAACTCGAGGACTTGAGTACTCGATTGGCACATTGGCTAGTGGGACAAGGCGTTGGACCAAATGTCTATGTGGCTTGCGGCTTCTACAAATCCACCTGGGCTATCGTTGCCCGACTGGCGATCCTCATGGCTGGCGGGGCATATATCTGCGTTGATGGCAGTGATCCACCACCATATCTTCAATCTTCCCTTGATCGCACCCAGATAAAGATCATGCTCATTTCCGCTGGCTACAAAGAGAAATTTGCCGATCGGGTTCAAACTTTGTTCGAGGTCAGCGAGGGTTCCGTTTCCAGTTTGCCATTGGTTAATTCGGTCCCTTGTTCGACCGTCAAGCCCACCGACCCTTGCGTTGTTCTCTTCACATCCGGCAGCACAGGGAAACCAAAGGGAATCATTCAGGAGCACCGTAGCTACGCTTCAGCATTGACGGATTACATCCGAGTCATGGGTATGGGACCGCATAGTCGGATGTTCCAATTCGATTCCTACACCTTCGACATCAGCAACAACGACTTCCTAGCGCCTCTCATCGCTGGTGGCTGCTGCTGTGTCCCAACTAGATCTTTGACAATGGACGCGCTGATGAATGACATGAACGATCTGGAGGGCAACATAATGTTCATCACACCCTCCGTTGCCATCGATATGGAACCCGAGCGCGTCCCCACCCTGAAGACGATGTGTATCGGCGGCGAACCAGTCTCCGACGCGGTCCTGACAAAATGGCTGAACCGCGTGCAGGTGGTGAACCAATACGGCATGGGCGAGATAGCTTCTCTCTGCGCATACAACCGAAATCTCCAGATGGGTCATGGGTCAGTGGTCGGTCGTCCCGCTACTGGTGCAATCTGGATCGTCAATCCCGATAACCCCGACCAACTGATGCCTGTCGGAGCCGTTGGCGAACTCCTCATCGAGGGGCCCCATCTCTCCAAGGGATATCTCGACCATGTCTCCGGAAAATCGGGGAACTTCCTCACCACGGCACCGGTCTGGATGAGCCAACTGCACACCCACAGGCCAAAACACCGCTTCTATCGCTCCGGAGATCTAGGCCGGTACAACCATGACGGGACGATCGAACTGATGGGCCGAAAGGATAGCATGCTCAAGCTCGACGGAGCGCGCGTCGAAGCAGGCCAAGTGGAATACGTTCTCCGACGCAACCTGACAACCGGCGATGCCGTCGTCGTGGACGTTCTCGGCGTTATCGACGGCGAAAGCGATCCCATTCTTGCCGTTTATATATACTTGACGAATAACCCCATGAACACAGAGAACGGTCCGGTCGAAGAGATGGAGTTTCGTCCGATTAGCGACAAACACGCTGTGTATGCACTCACCCAGTCGTTGAGCGAGGCGGTTCGCCAGAGTTTGCCCAGATACTATGTTCCTGGCCTGTATATCCTTATTGATCGAGTGCCGCGTACCAAGTCTAAAAAGACTGATCGACGGAAGCTTCACATGTTGGGACAGGCTTATTACATGGAGCATCGGGATGAGCTTGAGGATATTACTGTCTGGTTCGATTGGACTAAGATATGAGGCTTGTTGAGTCCTGGATTAAAGCTTCGGCCGTCGCTGGTTGATATGTTTCGGGTATTGATGTGGGAGGATGGGCAAGTTTAAAAAAACCACATGTTTCGGCGTTTATTCTCAGATCCAACAACAAAGATCGAAAAGCACCCTTTGCGGCCATAACACCAATACATCAACCAGAATGCCTTTTCCCTTACTTCATAAAGCATAACGATGTTTTGTCAACAAGTTTGTATTTCAGTGATTATATTTGTCCTCAAACGACTTTTGTAGGTAACATATGCCTGAACCTGAATATCAAGATATGTCGTTCATACATTTCTTGTCCGGTCCACGGCGTAGAAATTGGATCTAGGCCGGAGTGGTCTCCACTCTGGGCAGGATTCCATGCCTGCCCAGTATGCTCTTCATCTCAATTACTTTTCGAAATTATATTCGATCCATGTCCTGCGCGCACTCGTACCAACCGGCTGGGAAGAGGAATTCAAGCTAGAATCCAGGGACGGGAGGAAAGTTGGTGGTCGCGGTGGGTGCAATGACCTTTGTTGTACAGCCAGGACCGCACAATGAAGGCTCTTGGTATAGCGAGGCTCGCACTAGACGAAGTAGCGAGGGGGAGTCGGGTAATAGTCGGGCAAATTGTCGCAAACAGCTAAACAATCATGCATCACGACCCGCTCTCAAGGGTCATACGACCAAGCCGCGGCGGTGGATGGAAAGAAAGCATGCTTCACGTCCTGAAACGCAGCTTCATCCTCATTCATCATCATGGCCGAACCAATCGCAAACCCCGCGTCAGGGTCGACGGGGAGCCAATTCAATGTCATGCGGGTACTCCCATCTGGCATTTCGAGTGGTGTGAGACATTCTTCGTCTTTTCTTGGGTATTGATGCGGGGAGCGGACGGTGTGGGTCTGACCAGGAGCCTGATATTGGGCGTCTAATGCCGACGGCCCGAAATCGAACTTGTAGTGGGAATCTTCGTGCTCGGCTTCCCCATCCCACCCCCGTGATGAAGCGTAGCTAGAGTCCGGGGACCCGTGGGGATCAAATGGAGGAGATCCGGGGGAAGGGAATAGAGTGTTTGGGGAGGGAGTCATGAAGAGGGCTCTTTGTGTTGCGAGCTCTATATCAGGGCGGGGATTGATCGGCGGATTCTCGGTGGTTTGGAACGGGATTGATTGGTGGAGTGAGAAACTAGTTTGCATCTGTCAGTCACCTGGTTCTAGATTTTGCCTCTTGTGCTTTTTCGGCGTGTCGCCATTCCTGGGATCTCTGAGAAAGGGCAGTAGCAATTTACCTTGTAGGATCGGTTTTCATTCCACGGTCCTGTCTCACGAGGCCGGCTTCATACCACATTTGCGGGTATGGTTGAGGTGTGGTCGATTTGACCGGGTATTCATTCACCCAGTTGAATTGCTCAGCAGCCCAGAAAGGATCCAGTCCATCCTGCATCGTTAAAGGAAAGTCACTGGCGATGAAGGGGTGCTGGCCGAGCTCTTCGTGTTGTCCCATATGCGAATCAATGAGACTCTCCATGGGACAGGAGGTAATCCCGTATGGGAACTGAGCTTCGGTCATGGTGAATGTATATTTGACACGAGCTGAAAGGATGTCTCGAGGATGAGGCAAGAGACTGAAGTGAAATTCTTGAAGTTAAAGCTGAAGCTGAAGCTTGGAGCTTGAAATATTTTGTATAATGGGAGCTACCGCAGGAAAGAATAATTCCCCGCAAAACTAGGGCCATGCTAGGTTTATTTAAACCAAAAAAAAAAAAAAAAAAATCTCAACATCAAAGCATGAGGAGCTGTGGAGTTGCGGAGAAACCTGGGGAGCTCCAACGGCAAATATCCCTGGAGACCTCATGATCCCAAATTTTCCAATTAACCGGTTTCCCCGGATTTTGCTGGGAAGTCCGTGCATTCAGGAGGTCGTTGTCCAATCGGTGGATTGCGGTGAATTGCGGTTGCTCGGCATCAAGAATTTAATCGAGACCCCCTTGAACATCGGGTAAATTGGAAAGGACTTGACTCCTGAAGAACCTAAAAGAGAACGGGGAGGGTCATAGGCCTTGTTTCAGGTATAAGATTTGGCCATCCAGGTATAGGGCTGGAAGGAAGACACTGTTCTCGACGCCACAGAAGAATGGACCGAGATGGCAGGGTAAATTATGTACAGAATTATCCGGCATATCACAAAAGAAGCTTTCGCCTAGGGAAACATCCCAAGAACGCCACCCTAGAGCTATACAAAAGAAAAGGATCTAACCGACGTTGCGGAGATAGACCGTGGGGAAACGGTTCCCACCGTTCCCCCTAGGTACCGGACCGAGACCCGCAGGATACGTGGTTTAGCTCGCAGGGATCGACAGGAACAAGAAGCTAGCTGGATCTGCTTGTGGGGTATCTATTTACAGGGCCAATCCAGTCCCCTTTCGCGTCCAGCGGTAAAGGGCGAGGACTGCTTTTCGACGGTGCCGAATTTCACTCGGGTTTACCGGGCGACCCCGAGCCTGGGCGACGGCAGAGCGCATCACTTGCCGGAAGCTGCGCTGGTACTCCGTGTTGAGGGTGACGACGCACGATTCTGTCGCCCGGATCATGGTTTCGCATGCGTTGAGAATGCCCTCGCCTGCTTCCTTTTGTAGCCGTTCTACAATAAGCAGGAGGAGGAAACTGCCTTGCAGCAGCTGGATGCCAAAGAAGTAAGGCATGAAACTTATGTCGGGGTCGAAGCGCAGGATTTGTTGCACGGAATCCGCGGCTTCCAGTGCGTGTGAGATGGTCGACGCAAAGGCCGGGGAAGATGTCCAGAAATCTTTATCTTCGATAAGTGAGACAGGATCCCACTTTCCAACAAGCAGGATATGCAGAACATGGGTTAGGTAGGAGGAGTAGGCGATCACGGTTTGGGTATGCCAAGAATAAGCCTCAGAGAGTTGCGGATCGACGGGTTCTGGTTTGTTGGTGTAGGCACTCGTGGATGAGGCCGCTGGGTCAGCGGCCGTTGCAGCGGCAAAGGTAGTGAGACTAGCTTTGTAGACCTCAAGCTGGCGGAGCACTTCCGACACGTGAACCTCCCATGCTTCTTTTCCTTGAAGCCTGGCACCAAGAGTAGGGTGGTTTCGTGCCTGGTTTAGATCGATCAATTCGCCGGTGATCGTCATGAGTGGGAGAAAAAAGCCAAGAATCGAGTGGTCATGGCAAATGAAGTTGGGGAAAATGCGACGTTTGTTTTGGTCACCCGACCGAGGGCATTGAGGCCCGTCTGGGCGAGGACTATTGCTGTGAATGATACCTGCTTGCCAGGAGCTTTCATCAAGTGGAAGCAACAAGTCCTCACTCTCAGCATCGAGCAGGGCAAGCGGACGATTATAGCATAATGCCAGGTGGCGGTCCATGATATATAGCAGCCACCAGGTTCTGCGCCGCTCTTCGCGGTGCTCTTCTGTAACAGGACCATTATGCAAATCTTGGTTCTTGTCACATACGCAGTTCAGACTGGGGCGCGAGGGTTTCGAATAGTCAAAGCCCAGCCCACCTGGGGAACCAGGCCATCCGCCTAACCCGTAGCCGAATGACGGACTGGAACCATCGGTCAGGGTGTCGATATTGGGTGTAATTTCCATCTCCTGATTTAATTTAAGTTCTCGAGCTAGCGTAAATGCCGCATGCCACCTAGGCTGGAGTTAGTGGAGAGTAGAGAGGGGTAGAAACAGGGGTACATCGAACCATCTCATACTTGCAGCCTTCTGTTCACTAGATGAGATAATAGAAGCCACATGGATATAGGTAATGACATCGTCTAAAGATCCAGCAGGGCCCACCAGCCCTTTATCATCGCCGACTCCTTCGAATGGATGATGAGCCCCGGCTGAAAAGTCGTGGGCGGTCGCGTTTTCAGCGGGTGATGGATCTTGGTCTTTGAACGACACATGTATCAAAGGTCGCAGTAAACGAATAATCAATGCACAGAGAAATTGACATATCTTCCTCCGTTGCAATGGTGAGATGGATAAAGAGAAGGCCCGATCATCCACAGCAGCCACCCAGAGCATACTTGCCAGCAAGGCAGGGCTAGTCGACCTAGGGCGATCGGCACTTAGAAAAGAAGTCTTTCGCAGGACATAGCAGTGAATGTGATGGCACACTGGATGCATATGGGTTGAGAAAGCACTGGTAAAGTAGAGTTCAAGCAGATCGCACACCAGTCGACGGGGGAGGCTGGATTCGAGAAAAGGCATGAGAGGTTCCAACACAGGATACTTCAACGGCGGCCGGGAAGTCGACGGCTGCCTTTGTCTGGGCAGGTCCACCCCCGAGACAGAAGGTATAGGATGGACACGCTGGCCTGGTTGGTGGCCGGCGAAATCAACCGGATTCCAAATATCCATCAATCGGGGGAGAGGCGGCTCGTTACCGCCCGCACTTGCAAGCAGTTCATACGAGTCTGGGGACAGGTGTGCCGCTGAAAGCCATTCCTCCGTTATGTTCGCAGCACGCCCTGCCCGCTGTGGCTGTGGAAGATTTGGCACAGACCGACGCTCGTCAACACTGGGCGCCGACACGGCGCTGATCTCATTCGTTGCCGGCGATCGCTGCCGAAAGGTTGATGCAGGAGAGTTGTTGTCCACCGGCGACAACACCTGCTGCGACTTTAACGCTCGATTGTGTTCCCCATCGACCTGCTTCCCCTCCGTGGGGTCCTGGACTGTCTCGTCCTCGTCGTTCGTTGGATGTTTCGGCTTCGATCTCGCGATACGTCCTCGTTTCCGGCGCTCGCGGGTAAATTGGCAGTTTATATCACCGCGCAGGCATCTCGAGCAGGGAAAGGCACGGTCGCATCGTACACGGCGAGTGTGGCAGGAGTCGCAGGCCACTCTGTTTCGGCGCCATCGTCGCTTGCCATTTGATAGTTCAACCTCGACCGAGTCTGGGTCTGGAGACGGCTGATCACCCTGGGACTCCATGCCCGGGACGTCATTGAGATCAAAAAAAAAAAAAAAAAAGAAGCCAAAGAGAAAAATAAGAATGTTGCGGGGAACAAGACACTAAAATGAGTGTCTCACCCGCAATTGGGCTTGGCGCGAAATTTCTCCAACTTTGTTGGACTTTTACATCTCAGCTGATCAACTTGATGAATAATGCGGTTAATTATTTATGGTTATTATTGACCTCGGCATTCAGCCTTTCTGAAGCGCACGCTTAAACCGCTCCAACGCTCGATCTCGACTCTGTCCGTGGTCTACAATGGGCTTGGGATAGCCATTCTTCTGCGCAATGGCTGCCGCTCCCTTCGCATAAGGTTCGTGGATGGCTTTGCCAGACACATCGCGCAGCTCCGGCACCCAACGGCGAATATACTCTCCTTCCGGGTCGAATCGCTCACTCTGACGAAGAGGATTGAAGATACGGAAATAGGGCTGTGGATCTACACCAGTACTGGACCCAAAGCCCCATCCGCCGTGATTGGATGCGAAATCGCCATCAATCAGATTCTCCATGAAGTAGCGCTCGCCACGCCGCCAGTCGATCATCAAGTCCTTGGTAAGGAATGATGAGACAACCATGCGGCTACGATTGTGCATCCACGAGCAGTGACGGAGCTGGCGCATTGCTGCGTCGACGATCGGGAAGCCTGTCTTTCCATCGCACCACGCTTGGAATTGGTCCTTGTCGTACTCCCATTCGATATTGGTATACTCGGGCTTGAAGCACTTGTTCATACTATGGGACGACTTCGTGTTAGAATGGGAAAACCGTTGTCCTGGAAGATAAAAAACCTACCAGATGAACGGCCAGTTCACTAGGACATGCTTGTAAAAGTCACGCCAGGCCAGCTCGCTGATCCAGGTCATGTAACCGGGGTCATATCGATCGAGATGGCCTTTGTTGGTCGTCTTCGCTGCTACGACAGCAGTCCTTGCGCTTAGCGCTCCGCATGCAAAGTACGGACTCAGCACGGAAGTGTGCTCCCCGGCTAACATGCTCCGCATCTCCTCATACTTTTTACCTTTCTCCTCGAGGAAATTGTCCAGTCGCTCGAGAGCTTCATGCTCACCGGCTGGGTAAAGTTCCTCGAAACGTTTCTGATCTTCGTCCAACAAGGTGTGTGTTTTAGGTGCAGCTGGCACCTTGCAATCGAAGAGATCCTTCAATTGTTGGCGCGCATTCCCTGGATTTGGCCCAGGTTCCTCAGAGACCTCGAGGTACTCAGGGTTCTCTTTCAAAAAGGCCAGCCAAGAGCGGTACCATGGAGTATACACAGCATATTGTTTCCCTTGCTGGCTAGCCAACTCGCCTGGAGTGACCACACAGGTATCATGAGTGGGATTGAAATTGATATCGGCATCGGTGCAGAGTCTAACAAGCTTAGCTTCGCGCCGTAATTCGTCTACCTCGTACTCGATATTCGCATATAGGCTCTTGACGCCCCATTGTTGACACAATTCCACGACCCGTTTCGGGATCGCCTTCCGCTTCTCCTGTGTTTCTATGTGCAGGGGAATATCCACCTCCCCAAGGTCCTGTTGCAATCGCTTGAGGGTACGCAGCGTGAAGTCCACTCGAGCGGGGCTAGTCAAATGGGCAGTCCAATCTTCGGGAGAGACTATGTAAAGACAGATCAATGGGACCTGCTTCTCTTTCGCATACTGGTAGGCCGTGTGCAATGCTCTGTTGTCATGAAGCCGGAGGTCGCTCTTGAACCAATGTACCACGGCACTACCCACATTTATCGACTGGCGCTTGTCTGCAGTTTCCCGGCAAGCTTTCTGTAGCGTTTCAATGGGGCGTTCCAGCTCACCATTGGTGTACGCTTGGCAGCGCTTGTTATTCATCTCTGGCGGATAGAATTGGCGTAGGATTATGCCAAAGTCCTCGGTTTGATTTGCATTTGGGTGCGGTTGGTGGAGGTCGGGGCGGCCCTTTTTACTCGCGTGTGAGCCATTGGGCTCTGCAGATGCCGGTTCGGCGGCCTTCCTCTTTGGTGGCATAGCTGATAATTTTCGAAGAAGCTGTGGTTGCACTTGTCTGAATTGAAACACGCGTGGGATTGATTGACAGCAAAGAAACAGATTCTGCATCACCAGGGCCAGGAAAAATGGGTGTTACAAGGTATTTAAGGTCTATCGAGATCGAGATCGAGATCGAGATCTACCGGAGATCGGGTGACGTCAGAGTCCGATTTAGTCACGATCGTGTCGGACCGCCTTGATCTGCCATTTCAATCATGCCGAATGCTAGTGATTTAAGTTATTCCCCGGTTTATTGCCAATAGGCAAGCTCGGGCTACATAGTCCGGCAGATCTGGCGTTCCGTTTTGACCAACCACTCCCTCGATGTGACCTCGTATCCTGACATCAATGAGTTCCGAGACCTACAATTCAACAAAGTATATTTCACTATTGCCCTGAGGGCTCTATATCTTCTTTCGTGAAGACCTTGCCAAGTACGTAGTACTCTATACCCAACCCTGGGGGTATGTTTTTCAAGTACCAAGCCTTTAAAGCAAGGGGGGATCTACAGAATTTCATTCACGGTTCAATATTGCAAAGAGGGAGTTCATCCCTCGAGATTTTGACGAGGGATCTCCCCAGGCTTCAATTCATGGCTCGGCAACTTCCCCGTCTTTCCTCGGTCAGTCTCTGCTCGCCCAGTTCTCCACAACCCCGAAGCAGCTGTCGTCTATATTTATCCGAAATCCCTTCTCACCTCCGAGATCTTCCTTGAACTTGCATCAACAAGAACTTCAGGGGACTGAGTAGTTAATTCCTCTATACCCCTTCCCAACTGCAAATCCCCCTATATATCCATATATATCGATCACCGCCCCCCAGAGCACAACCAGCAATGTCCCTCCACCTCCAATGGCCGCTACCAACCCCATCTCCATATCCCTCCTCCACAACTACGGCGGCACGTCCGACGTAACGCGCGCAGGTGTATTCGCTGGGTTCGCCGGAATAGCATGCTACAACGCCGTCGAGCTGGTCATCCTCTGCCTGTTCTCTTTCAAACGTCGCAATAGCACCTACTTCTGGAGTCTACTCATCGCCTCTTTCTGCATCATCCCCTACACTATCGGTTTCGCCCTTATCTTCTTCCCGACAGCCGCCACACCCTGGCTAAGCATAAGCATCGTCTTGCCGAGCTGGTATGGAATGGTCACCGGTCAATCGGTTGTGCTGTGGTCGCGACTGCATCTGGTGCTGCAGAATCGGAAGGTGTTGCGCGGTGTGCTGTGGATGATCTGTATCGATGCTGTCATCTTCCATCTGCCAACCTCGGTTATAATTTATGGGACGATTGCTCATCCGACGGGGCCATGGGCCCTCGGGTACGATATCATGGAGCGTATTGAGCTGGTTGGGTTTTGTGTACAGGAGTTTATTATTTCCAGTATTTACGTCTGGGAAACCATCAAATTACTCCGTCTCAGGCCCGAAGGTCGTCACTTTGGGATTCTTAACCAGTTGCTGGTTATCAATATCATCATTGTTCTATTGGATATCTCTGTCGTCGTCATCGAATACGTCGGCTACTATGCCATCCAGGTCACGTTCAAGCCTGTCGCTTACAGCATCAAGTTAAAGCTTGAATATGCGATCCTGGGTAAATTGATCGCGGTTGCGCGCGGTCGCAGTCACAGTCGGGAATTGCATTCCAGTGAGCGTGAGATCAACGAAGTTAGCTCATTTCCTTCGGATGCAGATCGGCTTTCAAATATGTTGTCACCGATGCAGGTTCGTCGGCAGTACACTCCACCATGGCTTTCCGGAGCGATCAGCTTCGGCTTTTCTTCTTCATCTACTTCATCTACTTCATCTCCTGTTATGCGGGATCCATGATACCCCATCTTGGTCTGTAGTGCTTTTGCTCTGGCTTTCGGCTTGGTTTGGTTTTTGATAAATTGGTGTTCGACTTACATATGTTAATAGTCTCTACATTTTTACAGGTGATATAGCGTGTTTCAAAATGGTCATGCGAGCAAATCAGCTCTTCTCTTAAATATGCAAAATATTCAAAAATTGCTCCACCACGTCAAAATATGTTCAGGAATAGTAACCAGCCAGCCCAGCGTCGGTACCAGCCTGCAGCACCAACACACTGCCATAAATCTTACTCTCGTGTTGTACCATTGCAGTACCAACACCTCCCAGAGCCCGGCGGGTATCATGGCCAATACCGTCATCTGCAAGACCCAGCTCGATCTCGGAGGGGACACTACGACGACCAACGATGACAATGTTATTGGCCTTGTTGGATGTGTGGTTAAGTTCTTCACGGACAGAAACGACCGCCATTTGGACTGGGTCGGTGATGGTTTCGTTGACAGCTGGTTGACTGAAGACGATACGCTCTTGGAGTTCCTCTGGTACTGAATCACGGAGCGTCTCGAAGAAGACCAAGTCAGATTGAGAACTGGACGCGGGGTGCCCATTTGAGCTCGAGGTAGAGACTTCAGTCGACACGCCTGTTTTGGTGACATCACTGCTCAATCCGCCAATTTGAATAACAGTCGCAGTGACTTGGTCATTCTTAACAAGCTGCAGGACCAGCCGAAGACCAAATCGGTCGTCATCTCCGCCAAAGAATGGAAGGACAATGTGGTGGGAGCGGCTGCCGCTTGGCTGGCGGGCGAAGATGGAACCCTGGAGGCTCATACCGCTGGGAGTGCGTGAAATCACGGGTCGCTTGGAGGCCGATGCTGAACTGTATTCTATTAGGATGCCGACATGACCCGTGACCCGCGCTAAGATATCAGAAATGAAGCTTGTGTAGGCGCCGTTGGAGAAACGATTTGCGTCGTCAATCTCCAATCCGTTATGGTGGTCGGCCAGTGTTCCTGTCTCGCTCCAGGGGAGAAGGAGCATATCTGCGGTGTCCTGCTGCGCCATTCCAATGACAGTGTCTGCATAAGAGTGCTCGGGGACGACGGATACACCCGCCATGAGGGAGAGATCATGCCAGTCTCCAAAGGCGCGGAAGGTGTTGACTACCGGATCCCACAGTGCATGTTCGCCTGCAGCAGCAACCTTCATGACACTAGAATCACGGTCGGTCAATTCCATTAGCCTAACACCGTGCACCTTGAGTGTGGTGTCTTGCTCCTCTTCCGAGGTAATAGGATCTTCAACGGTTTGCTCAGTTTGCTTTGGCATTTTTGTGGGATGAATGCGTGACGACACGGATGCACGTCGCTTTGAGCTGAGGAGGGCTGCCACAGTACAGACACCCGAAAGACCATCTAGACGCAGGTAGACGAGAAGCCTACGTACTGGGACGGTCTTCAACTGATTCTTGGCAAGAGCAACGCTGTCATTGCGGTCATCGCGTTGGATGGGGTTGCCTTCCCAGTCGATTTCCCCCCGTCTCCATCGCTCGACCTTGATTTGGTACCACCTGGGATACAGCAAGGTGGTCAATGGAGTGGTAAGGAACGTGGTGACCAAGGCCATCACGACGAAAATTGTAAAGGTGCGGGTGCTCAGAATCTTGGCTTGGAGACCAATGTTCTGGGGTATTCAATTAGCCTACATTCCATCGGCAAACCACGTCCGGGATTAGTACTTACCAGCACAATCAATTCCACCAAACCCTTGCAACTCATCAACACACCGATCGAGAAACTTTCACGCCATAAGAGCCCACAGAGCCGCGACGCAACAGCACCTCCAGTAACCTTCGCAATGAACGCGATGGCAATTACCCCAACCACATAACCCCAGACGATTCCAGAATCCAGGAGGCCCAAGTTGGTACTCAGACCGGACAGGGTGAAATAAAGTGGCAGGAAAATGGCAGCGACTAAATCCTCGATTTTCTCGGTGAGCTTAATGGCGAAGCCACCTTCGTGCGGGCAAATCAAGCCGATGACGAAGCCTCCAAAAATGGCGTGAACACCAATAACCTGTGTGAAGAAGGCGGAAGCCAGAGCAATGAGCAGGGTGAGAGCCACGACCGACTGACTGGGTCCTTTTTGCAAGCTACCCGTTTTCTCCAGGAAGCGGAGGAACAGTGGGCGGAAAGCGAAAGTTAAAAAGAGCATGTAGGCGGCGCAAACCAGCAGCACGTATAGAGCTGTGATACCAGTACCTGCGTTGACAAGAGCGACGCACAGTGCAAGCAGGATCCAGCCCACCACGTCATTACCCACACCGGCGGACAACACGATAACACCGACACGGGTTGAGAGTAGCTTTAGCTCGGTGAGGATACGGCACAGCACGGGGAAGGCCGTGATGGCCATGGCGATACCGATGAACAGCAGATAGGTCCCAAAGGCAATGGGCTTAGTCCCAGGGTCATTGTGGAACTCATGATAGAGGCCATAAGAGATGGCGCATCCCAACCCGAATGGCAAGATCATCCCCGCAGCGGACACGCTCAACGCGACCCGCCAATTACTGATGAGGAAACGTAGGTCGGTCTCGAGACCGACCAAAAACAAGAAGAGTACCAGTCCCAGATTGGCGACGACATTGAGACTGGGAATACTGGTGGTCGGGAAAATAGCGTCTGTAAATCCGGGGATGCGTCCCATCACCGATGGGCCCAGAACAATTCCACCGATCACCTCTGCGATGACTCGGGGCTGACGAATCTTCGACAGAGGCCAGTGGATTAAACGACATAGCACGATAATTATGACGGCCTGGTTGTCAGTTTTAAATCTCTTTTTTGGATGGCGACATATTTACCTGGATGATAAACAACACCAGTGGGTTCTTGGGGTCATAGTCTGTAGGGTTGCCGCCTTCGATGATGCCACCCTGCGGACTGACTAGTTTAGTACTGTTGGTCGCGGTCGCGTTGGTCGCCATACTGGATAATATCCAGCTTAGGCAGAGAGCAAAGGGGATTTTGTCAGTCAAGATTTCGTCAAGAGGGAGAAGATAAAGGAAAGTCAGCGAGCGAATACGAGAGCCAATAAGAGTTATGGTACTCCGTGCTCGGTTACCCCGTGCCTATGGATTTAATGGCTTGGCCTAGCCTCGAAATGGATTGGTTGCGAAGATTCAAGGATCAAGCGAAAAATGAGAGGTCATCTCCTAGTCCGGGGGAACAAAGAAGCCGCATGCGGCCACAAAACCAATAACTTCTAGGAGGAAATATAGCCATATCCAATAGACTCTCATATATAGACTCCGCAGTTTAAAGTTCCCACGTGTTGACTACTCGGACCTTTCCTGATGATCTATACCCCAGATCACATGTCACATGTGCAGGTTTTTGCCTTGATAGATATTGGAATACATCGCAATTCTATATAGAATGAAATTCGTCAAATTCCCTCGAATTCTTCATTGAATTACATGAAATCCTACTTGAAACCTCCATATCTGACCTAGACTTCTACCATATCATATATTATATAGAGCAAAGTCGGCTTACACATTTACACCCTTCTCACTATTATACGCTTGGCATTTAATTCTTTTCATTCTAGCTATAAATACGGAAGTACCCTTCAAAAAAGAAAGTGATATCTAAAAATATACCCAAGATAAAAAAATTAAGACTACAAAATAAAATCTAAACTGGCGTACTGGTGGTAATAGACTGCCGTGCCGCATAAGCTTGAACTATAGAGATCTGATGATATCTTAGACAATCTCTTTTGCTGACATCTAAGATAAATGAACTAGGTATCAAAATATATAGTTAATGTACAAGAATAAAGATCTCATGCAAAGACCAAACAAGACCAAAGAAACACCAAGCATCAAGCTTTCTTTGTCGCAGCCTTCGAGCTCCGCACCCTGAAGAGATAATAAAGCGTAATAGCAGCAAAGATATTGAAAATAAAATAACACCAGAAGATTCCATAGTTTCTCCAGCGATCACCCCATTCAATCTTCCTCGTAGCAAGGTACTGGTCCGCCGAGCTGAGAGAGCAGTACTCACAACCGGACGTAGCATTGTAATTGGCAAGCTTCCCAGGCGCAGTCGCGAGGAACTTCTCCATATACTGGAAGCAGGTTTGACCAACAGGCGGATCAAAGACACTCATTTCCGCAGCATTACACTCCACCGGGCGACCATGAAGCGCTGTACTCCCGATACCACTGATGTAGTATGTAAACGGCGAGACGCGGTACATGAAGATCCAAAAGCGTGGGAGATTATCGGGCGGCTGCATTACGCCATTAAAGATGAAGGAAAGGCCGAACATCAGCGTGGCAACCATAGCTGCGAGTGCAGGCTCCGGGATTGCGCAGACGACTAGCTGTGCCATGCTTGCGGCGTAGATGTAGAATTGGACGATGAAGAGCATGATCAGGGAGCGACGCTCGGAGTCTTGGTCGGCACCCAAGATGGACCAGTAGAAGCAGGCCCAGGAGCAGATGCCGAGACAGACTTGGAAGGGGATTTCGACGAGCATCTGGGATAGGATGAAGACTTTCCAGGAGTAGATGCGGGATGGGCGTTCGCGGACTTCGTAGAGGGAGCGCTGGACGACGAATTTGGGCATGATCTGGTTGACGAGAGAGTTGAAGATTGTGCACAGTAGGAAAATACTGAAGAGCACGTTTTGGAAGCCTTGTTGGCTGTTGTCTGATTTCCAGAACGAGAAGCCGATGAATAAACCAGACACAATGCCTAAAATAAACTTGGAATAGACGTATTCTGGCTGACGGTAGTACTGTTGGAAAACTCTTGCCAGAACATAGTATAGCTGGCGGTGGAGCGGCATGGCAAACTCGGAATTGTCGTCGCCAACCTCATCATATTCGTCCAGGGAAGAATGAGCAGACAGCTTACGGGGGTGATGAAGTCGCTCGACTTCAGCCTGTACCTCTTCATACTCTTGGCTTTTGTTCCACGCCCCAACCCAGTCTATAGCGCAAGAATCACCGGCAACCATCTCGAGAATGTATTCAGCGGGGTTCTCCAGTTGCCCACATGGTCGAGCACCATTGTACTCGAAATATTTCAAGAGAGTAGAGGATTGGTTTCCAATCTCGCCGAAGTAGACGGTTTTTCCTCCCTTGGCAAGGAAGAGCAAACGATCGAAGGTTTGAAACAACTGCGCGCTAGGCTGGTGAATTGTCGCGAGGACAGCCTGACCGCTATTTGCAAGTCTTCTGAGGAACTGACAGATAGTCCAAGAGCTTTGCGAGTCGAGACCACTGGTGGGTTCGTCGAGGAAGATAAGCAGGGTAGGCTTTGCAGCAAGCTCAACACCAATACTAAGCAGCTTCCTTTGCTCGACGTTGAGACCCTCTCCCAGGTTTCCCACGACCGCTTCGGCGAAATCTTCCATGTCTAGGAGTTGGATGACTTGTTCCACGTACTCATACTTCTCTTGTTTGGTAACCTTTTGAGGCTGACGAAGCATAGCGCTGAAACGCAACGCTTCTCTCACAGTGGTGCTATCGAGATGGAGATCTTGCTGTTGCACGTATCCAGTCCGACGGGGGAAGTTTGCCGCAAGGGTCTTGCCGTTCACGAAGATATCACCAGAGACAACACCAATGGAGACTCTCTGCGCAAGCACATCAAGAAGTGTTGTCTTTCCAGCTCCAGAAACACCCATCAAGACAGTCAGGCTACCAGGCTTGACCCAGCCATTGACATTGTCCAAGAGTCGACGGGTGCCCTCCTTGACAGGTATATCGTAGTTGAGGGAATTCCATGAGAGAATGTCCTTTTGCTCAGGTAGGCAGATGCTGTCATTGGTCCTGTGCAGCTCGAGCTTTTTGACCTCCTGTGTTCCAAGCTCGATGCTATGACCTTCCTGTAGATACTTGGGCGCATGTCCAGGGCGGAAGACCAAGGCCTCCGCCTTTGACTTGTCATCAGTGATGTACTCTGTAGCAATCAAGTAGAGCGCATTGAGGGCGATGAAAAAGGCGACGAGAATTCCGTAGTTCCGCCACAGATGGGAGTGCTTGTACTGGTAGTTCTTATCGATGAAAGCATCTCCCGAAACAGTTCGCTCGCCGGCAATCGCCCCCACAGTGGCGCAGATAAAGGACGTGCCAGTTCCGTAACTTGGGATGAATGAGGAACAGTCAAATGTTCGACCGTGGAATTCATTGGATACGAGCCCTTCAAAGGTATAGTAGATCGGGTTGATCCACCGGATCCACGAAAGCCACGGATGCATGTACGGCTGCGGTAGAGTAAACCCGGTATAAACGACAATGCAGAGCACAAGCACACCGGCAATCGCCATGGCTTGGCCAGCAGTTTTAGTCAATGCACCGATGCTGCGGAACAGGCCAGACATAGCCAGAACAGCAGTGAACAAGAACAGGTAATGGATGAAGAACGCCCCCACTTCCCGGCGCAGGTTTGCCATAAAATAGAGGACAATTGTGAAGATTGAGATGCGTATGATCTTGATCGGTAGATCGACGAGGATGCTGGCTAATGCTTCAGTGAATGGATGGACAAATGCATATCCAGCTTGCTTTTCGACAACAGGGCGCTGGGCATAAAGTTGAAGGATTTCGTTGATCGTAATTATGGCGTTCATAAGCACAGCAAAGTACATCACTGCACCCTTTTGGAAGAAGAAACTCGCAGAGTCTGGGGTATTGTAGAAGATGGATCCAATGATCAGAGATATAATCACCTGAGCGATAAGTGGTGACATGGCTGTGGGGAGATCTTGAAGCATTCGCTGGTAGGCTCTACGCATGCAGAGTCGCACCTGCATAGGGACGGAGAGCAGGTAAGGGCTTCGAGACCGAGTGTGGCGCGCTTGCTGCTCTTTGTGGCTTTCCATGAGTCTTTTCGCATCTTTTCCATTTGGTGGATGTTCACTTTCGAAGTGGGCAATATTTCTATGCAAGAGCTGATATTCTGGACTCTTTTTCCAATGCTCGGAGAACTCCTTTGCTGTGCGGGGAACCTTGCCCTCCATGCCGGGCCGTACCATGCGTTCTGCTGGGTTAGTGATGGCAGTCAAAAAGTCACCACTAACTTGGCGCTCAGGCTTCTCCCAGCCCATATCCTGGAAATAGGACACAGCACGCTCCCTGGGTCCATAGTAGATCTGGTACCCCTCGTATAGAAGGACTACCTTTTCGAAAAGATCATACATAGACTGCGATGCTTGATAGGCTGCAATCGCATGGCAGGATTTCCCCATATCAGCTGAAAGACGCAGGGATTTCACAAATTTTAGAGCGGATGCGGCATCCAGACCACGGGTACTATTGTCCCAAGCCCCGATGCGACAGCGAGCAAGAAACATTTCGGCAATACTGACTCGCTTTCTTTCACCTCCACTAACACCACGCACAAACTCACTGCCGACCTTGGTGTTGTAGGTGTGCGACAATCCAAAGACGGACAGGATTACCTGGGTGATGGTCTCAACGTATTCGTTGCGGGTTACGCCCTCCAGGCGCTGTTGGGGTGCACGAGCGTGGGCGGCGAATGTGAGAGTTTGGCCCACGGTCAAGTGGGGGAAATGCAGATCGACCTCCTTGTTGTATGCGACCTCTCCCCGGTGATGTTTTATCATGTGGTCGAATGCAACTCCTTTGTAATGGAGTGTGCTTTCGGGCTCCACGGTCAGCCCCCCCAGGTGTCCGCAGATAGTCTTCAGTAATGTCGTGCATCCACTGCCGGGTCGACCCAGAACAAGAAGGAGCTCCCCGCCTTGGAGTAAGCCATCGAAGTTGCGGAGGATTTGTCTTGATGGTGAGATACGTCCAGTCAAAGCTCTCGCCGCAGCTCGGAAGGGTACTGTCAAACTGGAGGCGAGGGTTTCCTGGTATCGTAGAGCGGAGCCGGAACCGCTCACGCATAGATTGGAGAATACCACGCCTTGGTGTGGGATCTCAATGTTTGAATCGTTTGCCTGGTCCAACACCATTTGCGCCCATCGGCGATGGTCAAATTGAGGGTTGGTGGGATCAAGGTGAGGAGCGATACCATCTTTCTTGCTTGCCGATCTTGAAAGTTGTTGGCCAATTTTGGTGGAGGCAATGCTAGTCAAAGTTTGTTGCTCTCGCTCCTCTAGTACAGTTGCAGTTCGGCTCGTGATTGGAGCGAACTCGGGTTCATAGTCCTTCTCCATGACGAGCCGACTAGTGTGTCTGATTGTGTAAATTTCTGAGCTCTTGGAACATGGGCGAGCCCAAGCCTTTTAATCATAGTCGTCGGTGAGCGGACAACGAACCCACCGGAGATATCCATATTTCTTACTTCTTTTCATCGGGATGGAGGCATCCCGATGTATAACGGAGGAACGGACTCCGTTTCGCCGACTATCTTTTCAAGGTTGTCTATATTTTTAATGCACTTTCAACAACTTATTGGCAACTGTGTACTTATGTATACAAGAAATATAAATATTAAATGGGGCTGAGTCGCATCATACTGTCGAATAACCAGTTCAGAATCCCTGTTGTTTACATATTGGGCTCTCTTACTCCAATTTCAAAAACTTCATCCACACCCGGACTGAATATCCCGCCCCCGATACATAAATAGCCCTGGATATATCGGTGATTAGGGGGACCCTATCTCCATATTAAAGCAATATTTGTGGTCTTAGGTAAAAGCATACTTTTTAGATATTCATATTAGATGTCTTCAATATATCTTCTCCCCCTTCTCCTATTTATAAGGTAGACAGTAGAGAGAAAGCGGTACGAGGCTTAAATTCATGAGAGTGACTTTTCTATATACAACCTGGGACGCGTATATGTATCTACATACCAGTATAGTTTGCTATCAAATGGCGTTATCTTATGCTAGTCCTCGTCAATTTGGCCCCAGACGGTCGGAATTGTTGAATCATTTCTACGGATATATATATTGCGCCTAGCGCATGCAGACCTTCACCTTCACAAAGTTTAGAGAATGTACTCTGAGCGAGCCATAATAATCAAAAAGGTTTAGCCTATATTGAGTTTATTCCAAATTAATGACGCTTGAACGCTAACATGGGATAATGCCCATGTTTGACTCGATGTATAAAACATAATATTTAGATCTATTTCCTGTAAATTAATCGAGATTGAACTGGTGATAGCGGCAATTTGAAGTGTATTTATACTTGGATGAACTTGTTTATGGCACATTGGCACCGCTCAACTCGATCTCCTCCTGCCCTTGCTGTGCCCATCCCTTCGGCGGTGCCTGCACCTCATAGTTCCAACCAAAAGTATCATCAATAGTTCCAGACTGTATACCACGAAGGGTCTGTAGCAATTTAACGCAAACCTCACCACCCTCCTTCCGAGCTCCGCAACGATACTCAAACTTATCATCACGGGACTGCATCGTGATACTACCCACAGGCACCAAAGCCGCCGCCGTACCAGCAGCAATGACCTCATCGAAATCGCGCAGCTCCTCATAACCAACCCGCCTCTTCTCCACCCGATACCCCAGCGTGCGGGAAATTTCTAGCACTGACGCCGCCGTAACCGAGTCAATTGCATTCTGGCTATCCGGCTGGATCACAGTGATCTGATCCCCGTCACGCTTCACTCCAATAAAAGCCGAAGTCGAGAACTCATCGACCTCAGTGCGAGTCGCACTATCCAAATGAAGGGTAATCCCAAACCCTTCCCGCCGTGCCCGGTCACTGTGCCGCAACACAGGCGCGTAATTTCCACCAACCTTAGCAGCACCGGTTCCATGCGGTGCACATCGATCGAAATCCTCCAATATTAGCGCTTCGACTGCGGTAGCCCCGTGGTATACCCCAGTCGGCATAGCAAATACAGCCAGCGTATACCCATCTGGCGGACTCAGCCCCAGCTGCGCAGAGGAGCCGAAGAGCATGGGTCGGACATACATCGCAGCGCCAGAATCGTGGGGTGGTACATACTCGGCGTTTGCACCAACTGCTAAGCGCACACACTCGATGAACAGATCCTCCGGAACGGGCGGGATGGAGACTACTTCAGCGGAGTACTGCATGCGCTTGGCGTTACGGTCGGGACGGAAGATGGTTATCTTCTCGTCGGCTGGGTGACGAAAGGCTTTAATGCCTTCGTAGACTTGCTGGCCGTAGTTTAGGCCTGGCGCCATCCCGTGTACTGGTATGAAGGGTGAGGCGACGAATTGCGGTGCCGACCATTTGTTTTCCCCGCTGTGGGAGAAGTGGATTTCGACATGGCCGTTGCCTGATATGAATAAGAATATGTGTTTTCCTCATGTGCAATTGCTTACCATCCCGGACTTTGAAGCCTATATTATTCCAATCAAGTGCAATGGGTGGTGGTGGGAACATGATGAATTGTGGAGTTTGTGGAGTTGCCAATTTCGCGGGGTTAATACTTTTTATATTGGGAGCTCTGAAGGTTTTTGCTGACTATGCTGACTATGCTGACTATGCTGCCCGACTACTCCCGTTACATACTTAGGCATCGTTGCCCCGGACATCGACTGGCAGGTCACTGGGGGATTGCATCTGTTGGCTACGTCCAAAGGCTGTGACTAAACACACTTTCAGTCTGCCTGGGACCTCATGCTGCGAGAATTTCTGGTACATGTCCGCGATATTCTCGAATTCATCAACATACGTGAACATCCACGATGGATCTAGTGTACCTTTCACTACCAGATCCATTAAGAACGGATAGTACTGCATCTGGTAAGCTATCAATTCAAACCGGAAGAAAAGAACCCATACCTTTTGCGGCCACGTTTGACTGCCACGCACGGTCAGCGCTTTCTGCATCAAAGGCCCGATGGGGAAATCCTGCGTCGTGAAAAAGAAGTCCCCAACCAACGTCACATTACCACCCTTACGGGTCGCCTTGATGATGGCCGCTAGTGTATCGCTACTATCATTCTCGAGCCCAATCGCTCGCATAGCCGGGAACTCAGCATTCTGCGAACTACGATACCCACTAGCCTCAATAGACCGATCAAGCCCATTGTCCTGAATTGACAGAATGTACTCAGCCACATCCGGATGAGCATCCACATCAACAGGAGTCATGCCAAAATCCTCCGCAATCCGCAGTCGCCGCGCATCCTTATCCATAGCATAGACCTTCTTAGCCCCACGGAGCTTCGCCAGTCGCTGTACAGCCAGCCCGATAGGCCCACAACCCCATACACCAACCACATCCTCATGCTGCACCTCAGCCAGCTCCAGCGCATGCCAAGCCGTAGTCATGACGTTCGTCAAACCAAGTAATTTCCGCGCATCGATATGCTCCGGCGCCTTGACACACGATAAGTCTGCATGCGGAACCCGGCAGTACTCCGCCTGGTCACCTGGATACCCGCCACACAGCCGACTGTAGCCCAGCTTCCCGCTGACTCGGTGGCCGTACGCGGCTTCCATTTCCTTGGATGGGTTTGTCTTGTCGCAGAGCGAGTACTCCTGTCGCCGGCAATACTCGCAGCTGCCGCATGAGATGACAGGTAGGATTATAACCCGGTCACCGGGTTTGAGGGTTTTGACATTGGGCCCGACTTCTTCTACAAAGCCGATGGCTTCTTGGCCCAGGATGTCGCCTTTTTCCATTGCGTCCTTCATCTTGCCCTCGTAGAGATGTATGTCTGAGCCGGAGATCGTGCAGTGGGTGATTTGGACGATGGCGTCGCTGGGCTCGGTGATCTTGGGCTTGGGGACGACTCCCACTTCAACATCTCGTGTACCCATCCACTGTGCCGCCTTCATCATTTCGGTGGGATGCGGCTTGTATCCCGCGCTGCGTTACATTAGACGAAGACTAGCTATGTGCGGTGGCGATACTTGCCTAGGAATTACCGCCGCCATGGTTGGGAGTAGTGGTCAATCGCCAACGCAAAATAACAGGTCCAATGAGTATTGAGGGGTTTGATCAACTAAATGTTGACGATGCCGAGATGCCGACGTATAATCGTTGGCTCTGGTTGTTGAAGATTGAGTACCAAAATTGAAGCAATGGCAAATCAATATCAAGATGATGCCACCAGATACAATCACCCCATAGCCGAGTGGCCAGAAAGCCATAGAATGGCCATGAATGGTCATCGCATCGGAATTGTCGGTCCTATAATTTTTCAGAACAGAAGCCCTAGCCGGAAATTAAGGCCGGGTGTTATCACTCAAATAACTATTTCAACCCAACGAGCGAGGGACAAATGCAAAGACAGTATAGAGTTGATGTGTACATTTTACCCTGTACAGAAATACAAATCGAACGTTCAGTATTCCAATCCAGGAGTCAGTAGGTGTCTCTGATCTCAACTGGGCTCACATTTGAAATGAAATTTACATTTCGTTTTCAGAATTGGTTCAATATCATACACTGGTGGAAACAACACTTGAATGTACAGGATTGTTGTGAAATTGATAGGGACAACAAAGCAGGCATCGTATGCATGCTAAAAACAGGATATCTTAAAAAGCAAAACGTGGATCTTATTTGGACCGCTGAGATCGGGGCTGGCGTAATTTGACTGAGTGGCCGTCGGGCATGATATCGCCCGAGTCGCTATCGCTGTCGCTGTCACTGCTGTCAGAATCTGACTCAGAATCTGACTCAGACTCGCTGGAGCTGGGCACTTCGTAAACATCACTGCGGGGAGCTGGGGCAGACTTGGGCTCAGGTCGCAGCTTAGCAGCCAGTTCCTCCCTTTGGCTGCTCAGCATGTCCTTGAGGGTTGGTTTTGGTTTCGACACGACAGCTTGCCGAGGGGTGGACTTTTTCGCCTCTAACCTCTGTTCACACACTTTCAGATCCTCGCGCATGGCTTCAAGCTTGACGCGGAGCGGGCTTCGCTTGACCAATTCCAGCTTGGTGTTGGCCAATCTCTGCAAGATCTTGTGCATCTCAGTCAGAATGATCGTAAGCTGGGGATCAAAACTTTCTGGAAGCTTGCGCTCAATTTCTTTCCTCTCCGCTGTTTCCTTCTCCCTTAGCAGTTTCTCGTCCGCCTTAGACTGTGCCTTGATCTTCTTTTCGGCCTCAATTTGCTGAGTCAACAGGGCGACATCAAAGCCGGGTGGGTAGACCACATCTCCGCTGGATGGTGTTGCCTGAGGATGTTTAGAAGTAGAGTTGGGCGTTGGGTCATTAACCTTGCCCTTGGGTGTGGCTTTGCTAGACTTGGAGGTCGAAGGTTTTCTTGGGGTAGATTTGACGGCGGAGGTAGGCGTTTGCTGTGCGGACTTAAGCTTCGACTTGGTATTTTGTGGGGTTGCGCTTGAAGGCGTCTCTTTGGTATTGGTGGTAGGGGCCGATTTGGAACTAATCGCACTATTGCGCGGAGTGGAGCGCGGAGCAGGATCGAAGCTAGAAGCAAGGTTCTCCCCCTCGGCGAAAGACACGGATCGCCTCTCAATTGCCGGGGAATCCTTGCCACGGAGAACGGAGTGGAGGTTTTTTGTTCTGTCAATCGCAGGAGTATGCTTGTTAATAGGAGTAGAGCAAGGCGCATCGGTAGTAGTCACGATGCTACTTGGGAAAAGCGGCCCGCCAAAAGAATCCTGGGTGGATGTTACGTTGGATTCCTGCGAAAGATCCACGATAACGGGTTGATGGCTGGAAGGGCTCTGTGTAATACCCAATCCCATTCCAGGCTGAAAGTTTTTGGGAGGCGTTTTGTTTTCCTCTCGGACACTGGCTTGTCGAGCCGGGCTCGAGAATGAAGGCGCACGGATCCGTGTGCGCACTGGGCTCATTTGGGCAGCTGGCGACTTCGACTCAGACTGCCAAGCCTGTTGAGAGGGCACAATGACCGCAGGCACAGAGCGAGGGGGGTAGATGGGGGTCGGGTTGAGGGGTGGGCCTGTCTTTGGCGAGCTTCTTTGACCGATGTGGGATCTTCGGAGGCCTGCTTCCGCTTGCGAGATCTAGTATCATGGGTTGTACTGTTGGGTTTGGGTTTCGACACCGAGAGACCCGATTGATCTGAGGACTGGGAGCTAGTTACAATGGGCTCTTCCATCTGTACATCACCCTCTGCGTCAATCACACCCCCATCCTTGCTAATAGAAATTGAATGTTCAATCCGAGGCGTGATAGGCTCATTCTTGGGTCCATTCTCTTCGCTGGCGTCAGAGTCGGATTCGGATTCGGAATCGGAATCGGAATCAGAATCAGAGTCAGAGTCAGAGTCGTCAGAACCAGTCTGATCTTCTGTTTTTCTTTGATCCTGCTTGGCGGTCTTCTTCTCCTCCGCTTCAGCCGTATCGTCCTCACTATCGCTTTCCTCTTCACTCGACTCCTCACTGGAGAGCTCGGTCAACGTTTCCGCTTGCTTTTTCTGCGCGGATTGGGATACAATCTTAGCCACCTCGGCCAAATGTCCTTGTCCATTGACTCCATTGGTCATGCCCGACTTGAGTGGCATGTCCACGATATGTTGTGGAGCAGACTCTGATTCGATGTCACTCGAGCTCGCGGTAGCCTCCTCGGTAGACTGCGTCTGTTGGTGGGAATTGATATCTTTGGGTGCAGAAGACATAGGTGGGGACTCCGCGTCGTCAGGCATTTGTGTAATACTCCGTGTAGCTGTGCTACTCGCAATTGGCAACTTTGCAAGCTTTTGCGGTTTAGACTGTGGTGCCGTGGACCCGGAAACTACGGATGCAGGGGTATGTTTGGATCTGACGCTGGAAGTTCGTCGCTCGCCTGGTGATGGAGACTCGCCAAGCTCCTCACTCTCGCGTCTGGGAGGCGGCGTACCAGCAATTGTAGGACCGATGGATTTTGCTGGTGGAAGAGTGGTGACGGGACTGCGGATTTCAACCGAAGAAACAGGCAAATCACGATGGCGGTGCTCAACTAGTGACTTCTTAGTTGAGACATGCAGCTCATTGGTGGTATTTCGAGGCGATTCAGGCGAATGTTCCCATTCGATGTGAGATTGAGACAAAGACCGAGAGTGAGTACGTCGCGATTCGGTGCTATCTTCTTCGTCTTCTTCCTGGATGGCAGGGAATTGGGTCTCCATGGCTTCCTTTTTATCCTTCATGGCGCGCTTGTGTTCGTAGGAAACAATAGCAGCATCCCAATCCTGATCCACAGAGGGGAATCGCTCCGGCGCAGCCGCGGTAGGCCTTTGAATAACGCGAACAGAGCCACGCTGGTCAAGGCCATCGGCGCGAGCTTTTCCATAGTCAACCCAGACATCGGCAACGGTCAAATCGGGGTAAAGGTCGATATCTTCCTTCGAATCGTCGAGGATTTTCTTGATCGCAAGCGGCCTATCGCCAACATAGTTAGCAATTGACGAATTATATAAGGTTCTTATCCAAGTATATCGGCACTCACTCCAGCTCTGGGTGAAGCTTTGCCCAATGTTCTTGTATCATTCCCGCGAGCCCGCCGAGCGAAACGTCTTCGGGATGTTCAAGGACAAGCAAGAAGACACCGGGCTTCTTCAATGTTGTTGAAACACCAGATCCCTGGCTGGAGTCATCGTTGGTAGACTTTCGTGCGCCGAGGAGGGTCCTGCCCCAGCTGGAGCTGGAGTTTGAGCTCAGCTGCTCCCGCGGGTAGACTTTGACTGAAAGTCGGAGAAACACCATTGTGTCAGATGGTACAATACTCGGTAGATTCCCATACAGCGGATGACTATAATTGGAGCTCGTGTGGGGGAAGGGTATTGAGGTGAGGGCAGTTGCCAGTAAAAACTGGTAGAGCTGGTGTGGGACGGAAATTGATGGTAGGGAGCAAACAAAGTGATGAATTTATCAGACATGCATGGCTTCACAGAAAGACAATGTACCAAACACCAAGCAGAATGGTGCAGGCTGAATAGGTGAGAGGGAAAAAAAAGTCAGGGAAATGCAGAACGCGGAAGAAACTGGCGCGAAGTAATCACGTCCGCGCGATCCACTTATCTGCCGTGTCTATAAGACACATCGGCCAATTTAATTAAGAAGGAATGCAAAATATTTCTTTTATACTATAAAATTGTTGCACAGTACTGCGCATGTGGAACCATATTCTCAATTCACGGGTTCGTGGGCAGTTTCAGCGTGCATATGTACCCCAGGGCTATATAAGTCATTGGTAAACCGTATACAGACAAGGTAAATTCTTAATGTATTTTCATATATGATTCAAACAATGTTCCTGGACATAAATTTATTCTGGAGGTACAAAATACCTCCGGAAACGATCAATGCGAGTTAAATCCAGCTCAACAATGACCGCGTGACAGCTCATCAACAAGCTCGGAAACCTGATTGTCCAGAAATTGAGATATCCTTCGGGCAAGCCGCCAATATTATCCTTGAGATGATCAGGCATATCGTTGTAGTGATTGCGCTTGTTACGGAGAGCTCTCAAGAGATCCAGCATCCGCGCCCCGGTGTACTTGCGCTGCTTGCCGAGATTGTCTTTGAAGTCTCGCGGCAAAAGGCGCAGGAAATCCATTTCAGGACCCATTACCCGCTCGGCCACTGATTCCAAACAGAGCAGCGCGTCTGATGGAGGGTCACGCAGCTCAAATTCGAAGTGATCGGATACATCGCACAGGAAGGTGAGACGGTCTGATGGGGGCCAGAAGAACGGGTGCATCAAGACAGCGCTTGCGTCAGGACTACAGATTGATGTCAGTTGGCTGAATGTGATTCTGCAAAGAAATATGCTTACCGTTGGCGAGGGTCTAGAGCCAGCATGGAGCGGATGAGATCATCCGCCTCGAAAGCATAATCGCCTAGGCGGTTTAGTTCCTCCAAATCGAATTGGCCCTTGACGATGTTTGCCTCGCGCATAAACTTGCCATTCTTGTCGAATGGGTGGCTGCCATGAGTCAAGACGTAGTAGAACACACAACCCAGTGAGAAAATGTCGATAGCCCGAGTGGCGCGGCGGTTGGTCTGCGGGTCCACCACAGCGGGCTCCGATGACTCGGTATGCTGCGATGCGAGAGACATAGGACCGTCATCATCCACGAGGAGCTCAGGGGCACGCCAGCCGGAAGTTCCAGCAGCGTGGGCAGTGGTTGCACGGAACGAGCTTTGGTTGTCTTCAAGTTTCTTGCACAGGCCAAAGTCCGAAATGAGGAGCCGCAATGACCGCGAGACAGTGCGTCCACGCGGCATAGCCACGAGAATATTCTGCGGCTTCAAATCACGATGGACGATCTTCAAAGAATGCAAGTAACGGACACCCTGGGTGATCTGCCGTAGTACGTCGGGCAGATCTAATCCACTTTGGACTAGTTCCGGGTAGCTGACAGGACGCTCAATCACATCCTGAAGAGATGCTGGACAAAGTTCGAGGCCAATATATAGGAACCCGGTGGCCTGCTCACGGCAGAAGTATCGGATCACGTTATGATGGTCATCACTCTCCTGCAATAGACCCACTTCGTGGGATGCAATGTCATAGAATTCCATCAACATACGCTTGACGGCGACGTCTCGTCCATCGAAGGAACCGCGGTAAACTACAGTTCCATGGCTGCCATGTCCCAGCACAACATTAGTGAAAACCTGAAGCCGGCCGACGCGAACGACGCCGTCCATCTCCATGATCTCGTTAGAAATCGTCCGGACCATTTGGACATCAGGCTCAAGTCGAGGCTGGGGGGTCAAATTATTGACCTGTTCCACGGCCTGATCGACCACCTCCGGGCTATCGCCCTCACCTTCAGGCTTCTTGCGACGGCGGTGTGACTTTCCTCCTCGAGATCCACGAGCGCGGGGCTTTTTCTTTGGCTTTCCAGGTTCCTCGGCGTCCTCGTCAGCAGGCCCGCGCGACGGCTCACGAATCTGCACCCGTGGCTTGGAGTCTGGAGTGTGGTCTCGCGAGGCACGCGGGGTTGCTCCACCATCTGGTGATGATTCATCCAAATCTAAATTCACTGTAACGTTGGGAACTTGTTGGGTTGGTGTAGTTGAACGCTTGATATCCGGAGCACCGCCAACAAGAGGGGTGGAAGGGGTGGACAGAGAAGGCTTATCATTGGAGTTGATGATGTTCTTGATATCCAATTTCTGCTTGGCCAGATCGCGAAGGTGATGCGAGTTAAAGTAGATGAAGGTGCAGATGAACAGTAAAATCAACGTCACGACAATATCCAATGCATTGTCCCAGCTCTTGCGAATGATCGCGCTATTTCGCAAGGCGGGAGGCAAAGCCAGCTCCGAAGGACTGCGAAGGATATCTCGTGGCGTATCATTGGAGAGTTCAGAGGTAGATGACCCGGCAAGTCTAGGGATATGCGGACGGACAATACGAGGGCCAGTGAGAGAGTGAACGCCGGCCAATGCATTCCGCTGCTGACGCGCAGTCAAGCTCATCAGTGCTTGGCCCCGACGGAAGAAGTCCTTGTCATAGCATTGAGCCATTGGGGCGCGCCCCGTGGCCAGGGGATAGGTTTCCTCTGAAAAGGCATACCAGCCCCCTGCCTCAGTGCAATCAATGAATACACGCATGTCCCTGTCATCACCAAGATTTCCGTAATCCGGATCCGGTGGCTGAAGGGGTTGTGAGAGCAAGACTAACGGGGTCGAGGCATCTGGCGCATCTTTGTGGGCAGGACGAACCACGTCAAAGACTCGCGCCACGGGAGATGAAAAGCGCTGAGTATAGCGAGGCCGATCCATGCGCGAGTGATCGAATCCCAGTACAACACCGTCATGCATACTATAAATGTGGCTTTGGTCCATTGTCCTGTAGTACTGGCTCTGTAGGTCCATATCACGGTTGTTTGGTGCCCACTCGGAGTATTTCAAGGTGCAGATTGGATCTCCCGTCTCAGTGTTTTGGATGGCGACGGCATATTCAACCCGACCAAGAACCAAAGTGCCAGATGTCGACTCGCACTCATCTGAGTCCGGATCTGCCCCGTTCACCTTCCGACATTCAGGTGAAGCGGGAATCGGACCACGGGAACTAAACACCCGGAGAATGCTACCAGTCCGGGCGTCAATGGTGTACAATGTAGTTTCTTTGCGGGCGGTATAAGTCACGGCAGGGTCGGTGCCGGAATAGGGTGTTTCGTCGACAAGCTGCTTCACAGTTAATCCGAGCTTTTGCAAGCCGGCGTCCGGGGCGGGGCTGTAGATATAAAGGCTGCCATCTTGGCTCGGTTCGACGATCCATAAAAAGTCGTCTTCGGGCTCTGTATCGTCAAAGCTGGAACGATTCGCTCGGTGGTAGGTGCTTTCGACCACAGGACTACTCGGGACCTCTAGGGCCCAGCGAGCAGCTCCGGTCTTGCGATCACGGGCGTGAATAGTTCCGTCGACGGTCGCCAGCAGCACAAAATCCTCAACCTCCCAGTCCTGCAAGGACCGCGCGTGAAGCTGCGAAGCCAAACCTGCAGCAGTGCTGCTGGCTTGGACAGGAGGGGCTCGAACGGCGCGGCCGGAGCCTGCCAGAGCCAGAGTAGCAAGGGCGCTCGCATCGTTGGGTTTCACGATGGGTGGTGCAGCCACATGGGCCGCGTGTTGGTTTGATGACTCTTGTGCTAGCGGCACAGAGACGCGAGAGATGGAGTCATGGCCTTCTGATTGCTGCAGCGGAGCGACCAGAGTTGGGAGGAGGAGGAGTGCGACACTGGCGGGGAGTGTCGTACGGGCGCCTGGCAGCCGCCACCGCATCGTGGAGCTGTCAGCACAAAGATTGAATGGTAGGCGGACGATCGAGGGAGCGAAGGAGGTAGCGGAGGGCGTGTCATGGGCCGATGTTGAAATGAAAAGAGGTTTAACGGGTCGAGTGGCAGTGTGGAGCGAGTCGAAAATCCGGGTTGCGGATCATCCCCCAACCCACAAATGTTCGGAACGGAAGATGATAGGAAATTCACCTATAGTCTAGTAATAATGCACGAAGAGGTGAGAATGTTATGCGTTGAAGAGATTAAAAGGGAGAGATTGGAGAGTATGCAGGCAGAGAGATTGTGTGTAATACACGTGTATGTTACTGGCTGGTACGAGTTTAATCCCTCCACAGCCGTAACAACGAGGTATGGTACTTTTGTCCACGCACGCCTTTTTGGTCTACACTGAATAGAGCGTAGCCTAGAACAATAAGAACATTCGAGAATGTTATATCATATCCCTTAATAGGAAGTTCGCATATATTTTACATGTAGCTTACATGTAGCTTACATGTGTATCCAGATGTTTATAAACACAGTCAGCTAGATTCTCTCACGTTACACCGTCATCCCATGGTCTTGACCGAGTCTTAGTGGATATATCTCTTTGAACCCCCAGCCTTTCATGGTGGGTCAGGCACTCCGTCAGGGGGTACCAATCAAGGGGGAGCCACACTAATATACACAGGTATCAAAGAAAAAAAATCCATTATCACCAAGTATTTTTTTCTTGTATTTTTTTCTTGAAAAAAATACCATGTAGATCAAATTAGCACATCCAACGCCGCAACCCCTTTCTCGTGCAGTACACGCTGGAAGTGCCAGTGAAGGGGGGCAAAAAAGAGACAAAGGACACAAAAAAATCAAGATAGATACAAGTGTAGAAGGATGTGGCTACAGAAGCATGTGGAGAGAAAAGGATTATAAAACATAAAAAAGAGAATCACGTATGATCCCAAGAAAGATAATAGG